TCCAGCTGGACTCTCCTGGACTCTTGAACTCTTCAGCCACTTGGCCGCATGTATAAGCATGTTTTCTGGTTTGCTTCACAGACAAAGCTTAGAACCACTTAAGAAAATCCATTCACAACCTGGAACTAACTAGACTCCTGGCCATCCTGCCTTTGGCTCTACCACTGTACATGTGTGTGTCTGTGTGTGTGTGAGTGTGTCCTGCAAAGATTTTCGAACGCTTCGTCTGAGGTTTTGGCCCCTGTCGTTTTTGCTGGCAAAAGAAAGCTCACCTGATGATGGTCCCAAATCAACATATGAAGCAAACAACAAAAAGGATTAAGTCCAAGACACACACACACACACACCCCAACACACACTTACGAACACACACTGGTGAAGCTCATGCATAGTTTTACATGTCTAAGGACAAAAAATGAATTTATTGCGCAACAAAAACAAAAACTTGAGACAATTCCAAAGCCTAACCCAAAAGGCCGAGGCCAATTTAGCAGCTGAGAGAAAAAAGGGCGAGAGGGGAAAGGTTCGGGCAAAGGATTCAAATAAATTACCGCTACGGGCCATACTTATTTCATTAGGATTATTTTTGACTAACATTTACGGCTGCCCCCAAACCCTCGAGGACCTCCACTCCTTTTTCGAGTAATTGGAGGAGTGCTGTGGACTGACTGCGAGTCAAAGGATTTCGTTTCATTCCATTCCTGATTTCCGGCTATATCCGACTGGGCGGATTTCGATTTTGGTCCGACGATGAGGGCGCTAAACGCGAACAGTCAGCGATAAAAGAAAGAAAATGCCTCACGGCATTAATTATAATCCGCTTAAAAGTTTCAACATGTTTTCCCAGCCCCCAAAAGCCCTATTCAAAAAACACGAATACAAATAAAGGCGGCACAAAAAAAAAATATTACAAATCTCAAAATATGCCGCTGACTCAGAGAAAAGGTTAAGAAGCAAATGCAAAGTGCAGATTTTTCGCATGTGCACAAGTGGAACTCGAAGTGCCGAGGAGCATTGACTCGGATTCGGCACAGGAGAAGTATTCTCGGGGTTGAAAGATCAGTTTGAGAGGCAGCTGAAAGACCCTCGACTTACAACAGACAAGATTCGTAATCCTTCGAGGAGGAAAACAGACGAAGGAGGTGGGAATGCATATTGTAATGTTAGGTTATTACCCAGAAATGCAAGTAGATCCATGTACGGGTATATAACGCAATAAATAAGTATAAGGCAATCTGTTCTCAATTACCAATATAAATTCTTAGCTAAAATGTTAGAGAGTGACACATTATATTTAGTTTAGATTTATAGGATGAACAAGATTTACCAAATTCAATTTTTTCAACTCCAAGTAATACATAATTATTTTAAATAAACTCAAAATAATCAGCTTTTGATAATACTCAGTAAATATATCAAATGAAGTTTTTGTAAGACTAAATTAATTTGGAAATAAAAAATCCACCAATTAACTGGCATTTCTTACCTTTGAAGCCATATAAAAATAAAACCTACAAAAAAGTTATGTATTTTTTTCAAAGATCCCTATCATTCTTTGTTATATCAGTAATACCTAATCCCCCGCTATAAAATCCTTAACGATCCAAACTAATTGGCAATCCTGCTTCGATACCCCGGCAATTTACCGCCGATTCCCCGCGTCGCTTTTCAATAGCTAATCTTTCATTTCCTAGGTATTCAGTTTTCCGCAAGGCGAAGGCAATTGTCGAAGGCAGCTTACCTCGCTTGTGTCCTGCGGCAAAGGGAGCGAAAGACACCCGGGGGCAAGAAGCAAACCGATTTTCATTTTATTGTCCTGCTTAATATGTTTGTTTTTCTTTTCAAAATGCAGCGGGGAGAGGAAAGCGGTGGGAAGACAGGAAAAGCAGGGAAAGCGCAGGGACTAAGGCAAGGATATGTGCAAGGAGCCAAAGGTGTGAGATGCCAGCCAAGCAAAAGGCTCCTGCATGCGTGTGTATGTGTGTAATATCCTTTGTGTCTGTGTGTGTGTGTGTGTGTGGGTGCGTTGAGGAAAGTTCTTAAGTCGCTCCGAATGCTGCTGAAGCTGTCGAGGCATTATAAATTAAAATGCACGCATTAAAAATTCTACTAAAAAAGAGTTTGCAATTAAGTAGGACTTAAGTTGAAGTGTAAATAAAAATTCACACACACACACATACACAAGCATGAAGATCCCTTAAGATGCTGGGCGAAAAAGGACATGGAAATTTGTTTTCTGGCGTGAAGTGAAGGAAAAACTTGTGGCAATTTCCTTAAGACTATTGCTTAATTTCCGGTCACTCTTCCTTGAGCATTACAACCCACACACACAACCCCATTAACACACACACTCACAAAAACACACACATACACGTGAGTTGGCCTGGAGAAGCCTACTTAAGTCCCTTGAAATCCTTGAGATTTTTTGCACTGGTCAAGCAATGATAAGCAAATTTCCCAACAGTTCACTTGGCTTAAGACGAAACCCTTTCCCTTTCATCCCTTTTCCTTTTCCAGCTGCTGCTCACGTGTCCTTCGGCGTCCGTTCTGGTTATTAAAACTTTCGAGTCTGTTGAAATTTTAATTTTCCTAAATACCCAAATCACTCAAAATCATTTTAATAAGTAAATTATGAGCATTCTGCCTATAAATAAACAATCACACAATTTATTCTCCATCGAAAAAGTCGAGAAAAGACTACAAATATTTGCCGAACCGAGAAGGATACTTGAGTAATCCTTTGCAGTCACCTAAATAGCTCTGCTCCCCCTCCACACACACACTCACACACACTTAGTTTGTGTGTATATGTAGGGATTAAATCGTTTTGATGTCCTTGCCAGGGCAATTTATAATTATTTGTTTGCCTCGGCCTGTGGTCAGCCAATTGGTCAATTTCTTAGAAGAAAGTCGAGTGGATAAAACTTTTCCATTTCTCCCACATCCACTGCCACTGCCACTTCCACTTCCCCGAGTTTCGATAGATTTTATGCACATGAGATGTTTCTGGAAACTTTTCAAAAGATTATAAGTCCTTAGAACTGCGAGGGAAAAAGCGCTCCTGGCATTTACCTTCGCTGCCATTCCCGTTTAGCTGGGAATTTTCCAATTTCGCTTGATTGCGATGACTGAACTTGATTATTTCTGCAGGTTAATAAATCTTAAGCCGCGTGGCGGTTCGCTCCCCATCGCAGGGGGATGACGGTGGCCTGGATATCGTCTTAGCCCCAATGGAAAGTAGAGTTCATTTACAAATCGTTTGTCGGCTTACCAAGGAGCCAAGGAGCAAGAGCAAGAGCTCGATTCCAAAGTGAAGAAGTCTGTCTGCCTTGCGAAGATTTAATGCCCTCAAACAGTTTTCCTCCCGCGCGCTTAATTCAATTTGTTTTGGCCCGCTTCGACTGTCTCGATTACTTACCATTATTTTTTTTTCTATGGTTTTGGTTCAGCTTTCTGCTGTTTTTCACCCGCCCTGCTGCCAGTGGCACTGATAATGCTAATAAGGATAAGCCCTGTCTGCCATCGTTGGCCCGGGTGACTTAAAGCTGCTGATTTGGCCGTGGAATTGCCGGGAATGTGATGCAACAATTAGTGGGTGCTCGGCGGCTTTTTGGGCCGCACTCCAAAGCCACCGCACACTAAACGCACTGCCCAATACCCATACACACACACATATACATATGCATACACATATGCAGGTGGACGAAATCCGCTTTTGTTTTAGCCCCATCAAATCATGGCTCCATGGATAATGGATATATTGCGTTTATAATACGGTTGCACGGCCCGGTTGCACACAAAACGGGCTCCCGACCGTTGCGCTAATGACCAATTTTTCGGGGGCCAGCATAATGTGGCAGGACTCCTCGGGATGAGGGCCAAAAACAATGCGTTTTGTGGGCGGATAATAGAGTGGCTAGATGATTTTGTTTAAATTTCGGCAATCTATGCAAATATTTTTGGGGAAGCACACGCATTTATTGAATTTAATGAGATTATTTTGGGTACTTCGGCTCCACTTAAAGTTCTAGAGTATTTAACGGGCGGTGACAAATAATGCATTTATAGTTGAATTCTTTATTCCTTTTCAACTCGAAATTGCTCACACACACACACACACACATATGAGGGGCTGATGTATTTATTTTTAATGCCAATGGCCCCCAATGAGGTTTTCATGGCAATTAAAAGATTTGCACGGCACACAGGCCTCCCACAAAAATATGGCATGAAAATCGCACGTAATTGGGCTGAACTTTTGGCTGGTCCGATTTTCCGCGCTTTTCGCCCCCGCCTTTCGGTTCTTTAAAACGCTTCCAGCTTTCCCGCCTTTTCCGCGATTTTCCCGCACCCGGCAAATGCCAATCGTTCGCCAATCCCCGGCTGCTTACAATTTTTATAATTGGAATAATTAATAATACCATTATGTCGGCCGGACCTGGGGCGTTAAGCCTATTTGCAGTGTGCCCTCTGTGAAAGCCCATCGGCAAAGTGCCCGGCCACGCCCACCGCTGACATGGGCGTACGTCTATAACTTCTATGCTCGGAATTTTGCCATTTTATATTTTAAGCCCTTGATAATTGGTTAGTGAGAGCAGTAAGTTTTAGTGGGCGCCGCTCGAAAGGAAGAGCATAAATTTTAATTTCAAAAATATGTTTTTCAACAATTTCAAGTTCTTTCCGCCGAGTTTGAGGTTGGTTTAGGCCAACCCCCAAAAGTTGGTTGGGTAATTTAAGCGGCTAAAACCATTTGCGGCTAACCGCAACATGCAATAATTTATTTTAATACTCCGCCGCGTGCGGAGGTGCAGAGTCAATCTGCATAAAATACCCCCTTTCGAATATGTTTTAATTGCTTATTTTAATTTGTTGATGATTTGCACTTGGAACTAGACTGAACTAAACCGATTATTAAACAGCACTCGAGTGGGCCAGCGGGTTATTGTTATTGCAGCCATATTTTCTAACCAGGAATTACCACCATTTTCCACTCTTTTTAGCCAAATCACTTCCACTCCATTGTGTGGTGGAGTCGGTGCACTCGCTGCACGCCTCCCTCACCATCGACAGTCGCCAGCCCTGGAAGAGGAGGCCCAACATCGAGACGGACAGCTATGTGATCATCGCCGCAGCCACGCCCTGGAGCGAAATCGTCCAGACGGCCCTCCAGAGGCTGGGATACTCCCAGGAGGTGGCCAACACAGCCAGAGGTAAGTGCTCTAAAAATAAAATAATATTACAAAAAAAATAAAAATAAAATTAGATTGCCTTGTCTATAAATAATAAACTGCCCCCAAGATTGTTTACTACATTGTTTTCTGTACTTATATCGAAATGCAAAAAAAAAGTCCAAGATTTAAAACCACTTTAATATGATCTTAAAAGTATGCATTGCATTTTAATATTCTGTTCTAAGGACTTTATTCCTTCCCCATTTTCAAGTGGCTTCAAACCTCGAGATCATTTAATTTATATTGGAAATAATTACCTACATAAATTCTGAACATCAACACGAACATAAAATATTGGATCTTTTTGCTAAGCAGTATTTTAATTGTGTCATAAGCTGAATAGTAAAATAAATGATTGCGACAATCTATTGAACTTTTAAAGACTTCTATGACAGTTTTCAGCTTGTTTTAAGTTTTTAAAGAATTTGGAAAAAATCGCTTCGTGGCGTATTTATTCCTTGACAATTTATTTATGTTATGTTTTCATGTTATGATGCAATGTAGCAAATTTATAGCTAATTCTGTCATTATTTCTCCCACCTTACAGGCTCTCTAATAATCAAACACTGGAAACCCATTCCGCTAGAGCAAATATCAGACAACCCAGCGGTGCCCGTCAGCGATATTGTGGGCGAACTGACCTCGGTGATCACTTTAAGGATCGTGATCCTTCGGCCGAAAACCTCTCCCTTTGGGGAAATCAAGGATAAACTACTGAAGCTGCTCGTTCTGCAGTCGCATGCGGTGCTCCGCTCCACAGGATGTCCTCTGGATGAGGTGAGTTTCCCCCACGGCGACAGCCAATTAGACATTCGCTTTGAACTTTCACTTAAAATTCTGCACTAAGACGACAAAATTCTATAATGATTCATAAGCGGTTTACGACGAACTCCCCATAAACCCACTGCCAAGTGCTCTAATCCGTCTTCGAGTTGCTAAAACTTGCCGAAAAATGTCTCCGGATGAGAAGTGGTGACGCTAATTTGCCTCTGATGTGAGGCATGAACACACACACACACACACACCACACACACACACCACACACACACACTCACTAATACTTGAAACTTTTGCATGTCCTGTGTGCTTGTGGAATATTTAACTCATTGAAAATGTTTTGATAGCTACTACAAAGAAATTTTGTTAAGCCGAGTTCATTTATTTGGTTCACTTAACTAATCCTTTTTCGCAATAGTTTCTCGATTTAATCAGCTTTGCGTTGCCGTCTCCTGTCTCCTGACTCCAGGATATGTGTGGCCTTTGTTTTCCTTCCTGCAATCGGTTTAGAAGGCTTAGGTTGTGCGAAACCCCCAAGGAGGGGTTCCCACTGCACCACTCACATGACCCAATTTCGAGGGGGGGAAGGTTGAAAAGCAATGCGATATCGGTGCATTAGCGCCATAAATCATACGGCTTGTGTACACTATCATCGGCCAACGATGAACAGAACGAAATCACGGCCAGAAATACCCTTCAATTGATATTGCGACTGCTGTTTTATTGGCCACCCACCAATCCCCTGTCCCCTTCCCTCCACCGATTAATATTAGCAAAGCAAAGAGAAGTAAAGCAAGTAATCATGTGATAAGCATTTACCATAATTTCCACATTCGCTGGCTGACACCTCGCAGGTTCTCCATTTGTCGGCCGATAGGAAAATCAATTTAATAATACCCCGCCACGTAAGAAGCGTCAACCCATTTTTATTTACAATTAGGTGTCCATTCCCCCACTTTTAACCCCTTTCCCCCTTCGAGCCCCCTTTTTTGTTACCCTCCTGTGTTCGCTTGTGTTCTGAGCAGCTTAAGTGATTTGGGGCGCCTCCTTAGCTGATAGCAGCACCACCAAAGAAGAAGGGCGAAACCGAACCACTGAGCCAGCAAACCACCGAGCACCAAAACACCGCAGCAGACATCAGACATTATCTTTCCGCAGTTGGGAGACAAAGCAATATCTATGAGCATTTAATACGCCATACCATACACCATTCCGACCCAACCCAACTGAACTCATCGCGATTCGAGTCTATTTCTGCTGGGTAAATTCAATTTTAATCGCCATAAGCTGATGTGTCGCTGCCTATCAGGGACTATCTATTTATCGCCTTCGATTCCATTCGCTTCGATTCCGCGGCGGTACTGCCTGCTGCGTTACTGTCTGTTAATATCAGTCCGGCGTTTCAGTTATCAGTTTCCACCGGGGTTTCTATATCGTAATAGGCAATTTTTCGACCCGCAGTCCAAGTCCCACCGCAGTCTCGCCCTCGCACATTTATGGCTAAGTAAATCCCGGCACTTGAGGTTTTCAGTGGGGTTTGTCTGGTAACCGGCGACTGTGATTTTTATGACAGCCGCTTAGTGACCGGCGGTCTTTTGGGGTCTTAGTGCAGCTACTGTTGACAGTCGCTCAGTTCCCAGTCCTCAGTGCAAAGCGAAACCCCAGCCCAAGGTTGCCCCCACAAATCCCAGGCAATTCGCTTTGATTTCTGATTACTGATTTTTGATTACTGATTTCTGATTTCCGATTGCCACACGGAACACCAGTTTTTCAGATTTTCACCGCACCATTACGCAACTGGCGAGCGTGGCTCCACTTGTTTTAGCTGTTCCCAATTAAGCAATCAGACAACTGGGGAATCCGAAATGTTTCCATTCATTTTGGGGAGTGTGACGCATGCTTTTGCGCAACGAAATCTCAGATTACGAAGCGTATTGCTTTGCAGTGGGATATCTGTTGTTAGGAAGTGAAAAAAGATTATATATTTGGCACAAATCCACGCCACTAAACGTTAATACGTCATTGATGACAAATAGTTGTTAGAACATTTGTGAAAAATAATTATTGTATCTAAAAAATATTTTACTTCAATATTAATATCAAATACAACCAGCAAAATTAGTTCCGTAAAATGTTTTTTATAACACATAGTTGACCAGTAAAATCAAGTTTATGAAAATAAAAATACAAAGTTATATTTTTCCATACTATTTAAAATAGTATTAAACTTTATATTAATTTGTTATACAAATCCTTTTCTTTCCTTTCAGGTGACGCTATCCCAGATCTGCCGTAGTTCCCATCAGAATACCTACGCTTTGCCTGGTGGCGAGATCTCCGATGAGCTGCGCCGCAAGTTCGACCAGTGGTGGTCCAACCAGCTCTCCCCCCAAGCGGCGGCCATGGCGCCCAAGATGCTGCCGTTCATGACGGGACCTTCGGCGGTTCCCGTTCCGGTGGCGGTGCCCGGGGAGATGGACTTCCCAGTGGGCACGGCGATGGCGGCGGCGGCGGCTGCTGCGGCTCACGCTGCTGCCGCCGGAGGAGCAGCGGGTGGCAATCCCCTGGGATCGATGGGCAGCCGGGAGAGCCTTTTGCTGGCCAACGAGGCGGCCCATCATCCGGGAGCAGGACAGGCTCCGGTGCCAGGACACCACGCCAACATGCTGGTGCACCCGATGCACGCCTCCATGCACCACCATCACCACCACGGCGGTGGTGGTGGCCATGGACCGCCGTATCCCAACCAGAAGACACGCATGCGCACCAGTTTCGATCCGGAGATGGAGTTGCCCAAGCTGCAGAAGTGGTTCGCGGACAATCCGCATCCCTCGCGCCAGCAGATCCAAACCTATGTGGTGCAACTGAATGCCTTGGAGTCCAGGAGGGGCAGAAAACCACTGGATGTGAACAATGTGGTTTACTGGTTCAAGAACGCTCGGGCGGCACAAAAGCGGGCGGAGATGCGAGGCGGGAGTTTGGGGAGTGCGATGAGTGCTTTGGGCCATGCGGCCATGAATGGTTACTTGAGCCAACACGCTCCTTTGGGCCAGAACTCGAGCAGCAGTGCCGGCAGCCAGCCGATGAGCATGGGCAACCTCTCCATGTCGCACGACTATCTGAAGAGTCCGCTGAGTTTGAAGTCGGAGGACATTGACACCATGTCGCAGCACTCGGAGGACATGGACGAGGAGCAGAGCAGGCCGAACACCCCGCAGTTACCCCTCTCCCTGACCACCCATGAACGCCATCGGAGTTCTCCCCTGATGGACGAGGATGAGGAGGAGGCGGGGGACCACCAGGGGCAGCAGCAGCAGCAGGAGTCCAAAAGCGATGGCATGAATGGCAGCTTGAACGAGGAGGATCGCCACGAGAAATCGCAGGATGAGTTGCAGGACAACGACAAGGAGAACTCCAGTGCGGAGGACCGCCACCAGGATGCGGATGTCCAGCTGGAGTCCAACTCCAACCTGAATAACAACAACCACAACAACAGCAGTTCGCACAACGACCAGGATGTCAGCTCCACGCCGAAGAGATCGACTCCCAAGGAGGAGGACGACGACCTGGACATGGACGAGGACGAGGAGGACAACGAGAACGATGCCAGTCACCTGGATGAGTTCAGATCGCCTTCCCCTGATTTAAATAGTGGGGTAGTGCCGCACAAGGATCAGCTGCCCTTTCCCATGGTTCCCAACTCGATGTTCTCGCAGTCCTTCATGTACATGAGCCACTACATCCCGGCTTTTGGCCAGGCGGCCGCAGGACATCCGCACCATCATGCCGCAGCAGCAGCAGCCGCAGCTGGAATGCAGCCGAATGCCTTGATGGGCGGTGGAGGCCTCAACCTGTCGAGCATCTCGAATGAGGAGCGGCGGAAGCGGAACAGGACCTTCATCGATCCCGTGACAGAGGTGCCCAAGCTGGAGCAGTGGTTCGCCATGAACACCCATCCCTCGCACAACCTCATCCTCAAGTACACCGAGGACCTGAACACCATGCCATATAGGTGAGTTCTATACGTAAATATAAAATAATATATTATGCCTAAATATTAAATAATATATTGAGAAATTTAATTTGCATTTTACTTGTTGTTTAATTATATTTTTCAATTTATAATCAATGTTATGAAATATTTATTAGCGAAAATGCAAACCCAATATTAATATGTTTTAAAGCTCAATTATCAGAACTGAATTGAAATTTAATACAGAAGGCTGACCCATTTATAATTTATATATTAATCAAAAATCAAAAGCATGCTGGTGTAAAATGATTTCAACTTATAATACATTTCGTAGTTTTGTATTTCTCTTTGTTTAGTCACCTTTATTTGTTATTAAAATATTTGTTTTAATTTTCCGATTTATAACTAATTTGTACACTTATCTAGTTCTTTATCTGTTTAGAATCACTGACTAAAGTTTACCTTATTTTCTTGTGTGTTTGCAGGCAAAAGTTCCCGCGATTGGAGAGCAAGAACGTGCAGTTCTGGTTCAAGAACCGGAGGGCCAAGTGCAAGCGGCTCAAGATGTCCTTGTACGACAGCAACCAGTGCGCCCAACTCGGGGGCCTCGGCTCCTTTGTGCCCAAGTACGAGGAGCGGGATTAGACAGGACGAAGGACCGGAGTTTGAAATCAAAATTAGCAGCATTTTTTCTTGTAAATAGTCAAACGAGACACACACACACACACACAAAACCCAATTTAAGCAGCGGAAATCTTGGGCTGCAGCTATGACAAATACTATACCATATACGATAGCTCATAAACATGTAATCCCCTAGTTTAGTCAACTCTAAGTATTATAGAACGAGAACTAACCCAGTTACGCGTTACCAGTTGCCCAGGAGCATCTAGCGAAAATTAGAGCAAATAGATAAAGCCACTTTTGTGTAATACAGATCTTGCATGAACCAGTATGACTAATTTATAGAGAGAACCCTAATCCTACCCAGTATACAACTCTCTACTTCTATTTCTACCTAGTTACTAGCCATCGATATATATAGAATGAAAGATAATTGATCATAAAGGCCAGCTCTTTAAGAATAAGCAAACCAAAGAAAGCCAATTTTCGAGAAACGTAGTCGTAAAAGCGATCTGCGATCTGTATATAATGTATGTTATCCCTTTGTTTCGGCTTTAGTTGCATTTGTATCTGCAGACTAGGTTACCGTTTACGTTTACCTTTACCTTTAAGTTTAAGTTTGAGTTGATAACCAGTACGTTTAGTTGACCCGCCTTATTTCGAGAAAGAACCTTCCCCCGCCTAGCACATATCCCTTTCGATCCATGCACATATAGGATGTATAACATACGATTCGTTGCTTTCGAAGTCTTGGTATCTAATACCAACCCCCAAAAACCGGCGACCCAATCGGATTCGGTTCGGGTTTTATACCTTTCGTTGCTATCCACTCCACTGTGAGCGTTTCGATGGGAACTCGTAACTAAATCCACACACACTGAAATAAAATGTTTTATAAATTGTTCCACTAGTTTCGTAAGCCTTCGCATAGATAATAAACTTAATTCAAGTAATATTGTAATTTATTGCAAGCATCGATACGCCAACACACACCACCACAAACAAAATACACACACACACAAACACAAACAGACAGCGAAGAACATCCACACATCTTTATATATAATATAAATAGAAGTATATTCCCCAGCAATTATAAAATGATTAAATAAATACAATTTTAAATGTCAAATTCAAAGGAAGTCTTTTTATGGGAAAGGTGAATAATTGTAAAGGAAATAAATAGAATTCTAAGGGGTTTAAGTGACTGAAGAAGATTAAGGCTGAACTAAAAATGATAAGGGGAAATTAATATTCAATCAAGTGGTGCTGCTTGAGAATGTTATTGCCTTCGGTAGATAAGCTTATTGTGATCGAAAAATAGCCACAAACAAAAATAGGCTTAGGTAAAGGTATTATTAAATCAGGTTAAATGTAAAGGTGATTTTTGCGGGTAACTAAACCAATTATAAAAAGGAATTTGGAATAAAATACTTTGAAATGCTTTCTTTAGAAAGTTGAAATAAATATTCGAAGGTACTCTTTAAAGAGAAATATCTTGATTTCCTTGGCACATCATTAGGGAGTTCATAAATTGTACATGAATTGGTTGCACTCCAGTCAGACTAAAAATATGGGTTGGGTAATATCCTTTCTTCTCATTTTTCCTTGACGCCCGAAGCTAATGTTCTGCTGCAGTCGTAATGTGTTTGGCAATTTCTCATGTGAACCAGATCTTTGCTTTATTTCTCTCGCTTATTTTTACTTTTTTCGGTAAGTCACTGATAAGCGGAGGGGAAATAAATATGCATATGTACGGAAAACGAAGAAAAAATGGCAATATGAGCAGCACATTTAGCTTCGTTTGAGCGCGAATTGTGGCACGGGGCGTATGAGTTATCTTCCACAGTCACCTTCTTCCCTTCCCCCTCTTTTCCCCTCCCCCTCTCCCTTCCCCTCCCCCAACATCTTGGCCGCAGATATGAAGCAATTTATTAGCGCCAAAGTTTACTTATTTCCATTTCTTTATTTCGCAACGCCTTTGTTACATCCCGCAGACATTCCTAGATAAAAATGGGTGGTTGGGTTACTAAATCAGCAGTCAACATTATTTCTTATTTTAAGTACACGTGTGGGTGTGTGTGGGTGTTCGGTTGTATGGGTATGTATCTGTATGTGTGTGTAGGTGTAGGGGATGTGCATCATTTGTTATCGCAAACTTTTAAATTAAAACTGCGGGAAGGAGTGAGCCAGCTAATTTATGGCATATCTTTGGGCGGCAGCATATTGGACTAGCCGCTTATTTATGGATTTCGTAATAAAGTGCGAAACTGTTGCATACTTCTGGGTAACGAGACATTAGCTTTGTTTTATGCACTTGCCAAAACGACAAACTACACTTAGTAAATCATTCCAGGAATCCCGTGCCTTGGAATTTCCCCTTTGCCTACGTAAATATTTACCCGAAAATATTTAATTCTCGGCCAAGCAGCTCCTCTTCCAACTGAAAATTCCGCATAACTTTATCCATTAATTAAAATTGCCACCGCTCAGTGTGGTTGGCTCACGAATGAAATTACGGCCACGCCCACTTTTGTGGCTCCAACTGCAGCCCCAAAATAAGGGGAAGGGGAGGGAAAGTGGAGCTGCTCAGCTTTCGAGGGGCATTAAATGTAAATATACATAAACAGGAGGCGAGCGGAAAAGAAAACATTTGCACAGCTAACTATGCCGCACTTCTGCGGCTTCTGGCCAACTTTCGAGGTGGCTCAAAAGGTGTTTCTTGGTCCTCGGCGGAGTGGCAGCATAAATCTTGCTTTCGAAAACTTTTTCATATTGCCTTAATGACGCCAAACGGCGAATAAATCTGAATAATGCAATCATAATTAAGTGCTGCCAGCGAGAATACCAGCGAGTATCTATTGAATTCAGCTGGAGATCACTGCGCCATTAGGAGATTGGCCAAGAACGAAGCCATTTACCCATCAAAGACAAATTCCTTGGCGGCAATTAGAGCGCACGGAACAAAAAGGACACTCGCAATGCCAAAAAGGACAACTGGGGTGGGACATAAATAGTTTTGCGGCTTTGACTGATACGCGGGGCAATAAAACTAATGAGCGTGCGAGCCAAAATAGTTGACAGTGGTTTCGGTTTGGTGGTTGGTTTGTCGCTTGGTTTGTTGGTCCTTACCACCACCCACTTTCCCCCCAACTTTGGTGGTGGCGATTCATTTGGCAAATTGAGTGCGCAAACAAACCGTAACGAAAGTCAAATGAATATAACGCAAGTCCAATTAAATGGTCATAAGTAATAATAATTCCGCTTTGATTTGTGACATTCACTTTACACGAAAATGGGAAAAACGAAGGCAGGTCTCCACTCTGCCAGACATCTTCATCTTGGCCAAATTAGTTAATGAGGACCTTTAGAAAGGGGAAAACAAAAGAAGGTCGACACTGATTGGGTTGGGTAATAAATTCTCAAGGCTGATTAGAAAGCTTATAAAGCTGCTCAGGGATTATAGAGTCGATTATGATTTGTGGATGAAGATTGCCTTGGAATGGGATTAATATAAAATACTTAAAATGGGGAATTTTGAAGGTAGTCTATTTAAGCTTATAAGCTGACTTACGGATACAGAGAAGTAGATTATGTTTTTCGATGAAAAATAACATTTAAATGAAATGAAAAAACGATATTATAAAAACATTTAAACATTAAAATTTAAACATTATTCAAAAGTTGAGATTGGTAACATACCTTAAACAAATAATAATAATAAAGTGAAATAAGAATACTAAATAAAAAAAAAAAACATAAAGTTTACATTTTTGTTATTTAAGAAATATACCATTTTTATATTTGGGAATTAAACTTAAAACAAAACTGTGCTGCTGTGCTTTTTGCTTTTACAACACCAACATTTCTGCTTACGACCCGAAGAGCATAAAGAGTATTTCAAAATATTAAAGCCCATGCTATAATTGAAATCATCAAATAATAATTTGACTAAGACCCAAAAACCCTTAAAAATGTCTAAGAATCTGGGTTTCTGGGAAAGGCTATCTAGCATAGCATCCCACTTTAACTCGGGTCAGCGGACAATTACCACTGGCACATCTAGGTTTTGCGTAAGGATGTGACAGGGGGGCTTAAGGGGACACGTACGACGGGGCAATTTGGGGAGTGAGTGGCAGGACATGGCTGATGGCTAAGGACACCCCAACACATAACAGGCATCCTTTGCCTGCATCGGGCGATTATTATTTATTATCTTAATTACGTCTTAAAATCCCCTGTGAAGCGGGACAAGCACCTGCCTAGGAGAACAGGCAGACATCCCCTGTTCCCCCTCCTCATCCTGCAGCTCCTTTGGAAATCCCGTGTCCTGGCTCATGTGCCTTCGCAGGACCTGCCGGGGAAAGTATTTGCGCGGAAAATTGTGCTTCCTTTTTGGGAAGGAGGAGGGGAAAAACGGGGAGTGTGTGTGTGTGTGTGTTTTGCGCACATGCTACCACTCTAAGCCTTCCCTTGTCTTGTCTTGTCTTCCTGGCACCTTATCCTTTTGGCCTGGCCTGCATCCTTCCTCCCGCTGTCAACTGTCGTTTGTCTTGGGCGCGTAATAAAAAGACTTAACAACGCGAGTTGTTTAATTATTATTTATGACACTCCTCGGCTTTTGGCTCGCCCAGATTATTGCCCCCCAAAAAAATTGTTGCTCCTTCTTAGGCGAAGATGCACAAGTTAGATTGCTGGTCGCTTGATTTACTGTTCCGGCATTTGGGACTATTTAAATCAATTGCGGATTCACGCGCTGCTTTCCCGAGCTCAATCTCAATTCATTTTCATAAAATCCAAAACTTTTACTCGCCCATAATTTACGATGATAATTATGGCAACTGTGAATTACCCCCCAGGGAGGCTAAGCCAAGGCCGACTGCCACTGGCCCACATACCACCCACCTACCACCCAAATACCACCCACCGTCCACCAGAAAAGCCCACTGGGTCCGCACAAAAATGTAAAAATGATAATCCCATTGTCAGGCGATAATTCAAAGGTTCTCAGTTTTTCCATTAGCCGAGCAGAGTCCAACGATTAACAACTAAAAGGTGGAAAAATTTTCATAAAGATTCCTAGGGTTTTATGATAAATCTTCTTAAAGATGGGTGTGATTAGTATGGGATTTCTTCTGTGACATAAAAGTGGTTTTGGACATTTTCAGGGAACAAAGAAATATTTAAAAACAATGAATTTTAGGTCTATAAAATGCAAAGATTATAAAGCTCCGTATATTAAGGCATATATAATAGTAAAATTTAATACCTTTATGATGCAAGAAAATAAAAGTGTTTTAGTAATTGCATTGTTCTATTCTTAAAGTGTACAAAAAAAATATTAAATTAAATAATATTTTTATCTTTTATTGTTGCTTTGAAATTTAATAAAGGAAGAATTTATGAAAGAAGTTTAAACAATATACAATTAATAAATCTCCGTTAACATAATTAGTTATTAGTAATATGCCATTTTTATGTCGTATTATTTTAACATATTAACCTTAAATAAATAATATTTTTAAAGATTTTTTCGTACTTATGGGCTTTATGTATTATAATTTCCCCCAGGACATCTGCGATAGTGACTTCGGCTGAGACTAAGCCCTGTGAATGAATTATGCTTTTAATTGGAAACGCTTGGCGCCGAGCGCTTTCTACTTTCTGCTGATGCCGAGATGGCGTTGCCAAAAAAGATTTGCTCATTAAACCGCCGAAGGACTTTCTGGCCCACTCCCCCTTCCCTCCCCCTCTTCCCCTCCCCTCACTTCCTTTTCCACTTTGGTTGTCTGCTGGCTGGTGGTGCGCCGCAGGTATAAATTTCATAAAACTAATACGAATTGATTTATGGCATTCTTTGCTCGCCCGGCGAAAGGCTTGGCTTCTCCTTTCTCCTGGTTTTTTTTTTCCAAGACACCCCCTTCCCTCTCCCCCTTTAGATGGCATTCCAGCCGGGCTTTTTAAATCTGGCCCAACCCCCGAAGTTGGCAGGAGTTGCTATCAGTAGCTGGCATTTGCTCTGGAGTTGGTCTTTGTCTAAATCTTTGCCTGCTGTCAAGAGAAGAAGAAAGTTTCTGGCGTAAGGTGTACCCCATTTCCCCACCCCCAATCACCCCTTTCCCCTGGAAAATGAGGGGGTGAGTGGGTGGTTTTCGGTTGGCGCGTCTTAAGCTTATAATTCATAAAGCATTTAAGTGGACGAAAATCGAAATTTATTGCTATTCAAGATATTTACCGAGGAACGTTCTCTTTGACTCGAGCTGAAATCCAGAATGGCAAGCATTAAATGGGAATGTCTTTGGCTTGGCTCGGTTTCTCGGTTTACACCCACCCCGTTTGGCATAACTGAATAATAAATATAATTGTCTATAAGGCATTCCGAGGCTAAGAATATGCAAATTATGGGGTCGCTTTTTATCACCCCCACTTCTCGATTTCTTGTTATGTTTATGTGTATCAAAAACGCTGCTCCTTGTGACGTATCGTCCTGCAGATAGAAGCAAATTGTTTCTCCCCTTCCCCAGTGACAATAAAAAAAAACCGAATCTTAAGGCATAAAAACATAATCAAAGGCCGGAATGAGAAGTCGTTTTTTCTTGCGGGAGTGTGTGGCCCACATTTCTCTGATGAGACCGATTAGAAGGGCCATAATGGCGAAGGATATCTTTATGACATCTGCGGAAATGCTAAGCTAGCAAGCTGGCTAGCAGGATGTCGCATGGGCACTCCGTGTCCATTTCCAACTCGCCAGGACATCCTGCCCTCACCTGAATTCGCATTTCGTTTTATCAGCTCTTATTTTGGTGCTATTTTTGCGGTGCCTCCGGCAGATGGACATTCCGGGTGGAGTGGGTGGTGTGCTTATCTCTCGACACCGCAGCTGTCATTCAACTTAACTTTTACTTCGACTGCACTCCGGGTGGCATTCCACCAACCTCGGGTTTCCCGCTTTCCCGCTTTCCCGCTTTCCCTGGACTTAATGCTGCGAAAATAAATAAAAAGCACTTCATTTCTTATTAAAAAATCGCTGGAAATTGCCCAATAAAACGGAGCGAAGGCCGCGAGAGCTCTAAGTCAGCCCAGATTAGACGGGAAAGAAATTCAAAATCAAAATCAAAATCAATCCATTAACAAAAGCACACAAAGGACCAAGTCCTTGGACCGTGCGGCATTAACTTGTGATTTCAACTGCGCGAATTCCCAACGACGGCGATGACTTTGCATCGCATCGGCCGCTAATTATCCCAAGAAAAAGTGGGTGAAGGGGGGAAAGGGGGGTGGTCGAGGGGGCGGGGGACAGGACAAAAGGAGTCTCGGCAACAAAGCCGTTGCGCTTCATTAAAACGGCAAGGACACGCAAAAAGCGAGAGAGAGAGAAGGAGATAGAAAGAGAGAGAGAGAGAGGACGAAACCCTGCGCATCCCTGCTCATTATCCCATGCATTTATCCGTGGCAACCGAATTTAAATTTTTGTGCCCCACAATCGTTTTCAATAGTGAAAAGTTTGGAAAAGCCCAAAGGAGAGGGGTGTGGAGGGGGAAAAGGGGGAAGGGGGAGGATGTCGTATCCTGACGAGCTTATCAGTCGCGGCATTACGCTGACTCCTGCATTCTCCTCGGATGCCTTTGTTGCCCTCTGCTCCTGATTTTCCCCTTACTCTCAAATCAGAGCATCAACTTATTTCTATTTGTATCGTCGCTAACCATTTAAAATCGTTTTCTTTGAATACCCTAAAAATCTGAGAGAGTATTTTAATGCTCAAATCAGCAATGGTAACTCAAATATGTTTTCAGCATTTAAAGATAACTTATAACAAGTCTGTAAGATTTCTTCTGATGATTAATTATTTTAAAATTCAAGTTGAAACTTAAAGTGTGTTGCTCTAAAATTATACTATAGTTACTATAACTAAACTTTCATTGCATAACCCTTAGATAATATTTAATAATTTGACAAGAAATTTGTATTACTTCTCTTTAACTTTATTTATCTTTTATAATTTTATTTTATTATTTTTTGATTTAATTATTAAGGGTTTCTCTAGGGGTATAATAAATACTTTTATTTCATTTTGCTTTAAATCCTCCTATTTCATTACACCCTTTAAGGGTATCTATAATTCGTTTATTTCATTACAACTGCCTTCGCTCCTTTATATTTTTTCCCCGAGATTCGGCTGTTTCCTGTTGCCTTACCGCTTTTCACCGTAATCAAGCCACAAATATGTTGCCGTCAACACGTCAATTGTGAACCTTCTTTACTTTTATTTTTATTTGCGCCCCGGGAATGGGTTCGTCTTACTTTATATATTTTTCACTTCGCACTGCATCTTTATCGCGCTGTCGTCTGAGGCGTCGTTTCTGTTTTGCTCACGCTTCATTACAATAAATCCGGTTACGGGTGTCTGCAGGTCGCCGTTGCACTCCGGCCGAATCCTCCGGCGGAATGGGTAATTTTGATGCCCTATCAGCGCCATCCGGAGACGAGGAATGAGTTGTCTGGCTCTTGGCCGAGATTCTTCATTGAAGCAGTTGCACTTCGCCGGGTGACAAGTTTATTCAGTCTTAAACGACTCTATTTGTTGCCGTCTCGTAATGCTCACGGTTGATTTGTTGACACATGCTGCAGGAGTACTTAGTAAATTTATCAAAAATAAACCTTAAACACGAATAGAAGCTAGATTCGGCGAACCGTAGCCAAAATGTCGAGCAAATTACAGAAAGGCTAAATAACATTGAAGAAATGACGAATTTTCTATTTATTTTTCCAAGTTAATTACGAAATTTTTTTTGAAAAATTGCGGAACTTTAAGGGGTATGCCAATTTAAAATCTGACTAAAATTAATAAAGATATAAACTCAGAATTGAATTTTTGTAATTTTTCGGCAAACTCATTTTTTGCAAATTTGCAAAAAAGGTTATATCACAAAACAAAATATAGTCGTGCGATTTTTATGAAATTTAATTCGAAATTCAAGAGTCGTTAAAAAACTCAAAAAAAAAACACGGACTTTATAATTTTTTCCGTTACTCACATATATATTTTTTGATCTGAACCCTTCCGTTTTGTTGGAATTTGCGGTAATATCTACGATATCACTCAAAATCGCTTAAAAGTAAAGCTGATGGTTACGGTTTGAATATCAGCTACGGTTGTCTGGTATTTTCTCGGTTCCGTAGCCCACGCAATTGGCCGGAAAACCCACTATTTGCGCACTTTGCCACACTTGTCATTGCCCCAAGCAAACGGCTTCCTTATCACCAGCTTATCTTATCAGTCGGAATGGAAGCCGATGCCGAATGCCCGCTGCCCTCGGCCAGCAGGTGAGTAATTTTCCTCAATCGGCCAGTATTAGACCAGCAGTTGCGGGGAAAACCTCTTCAAAAAATAAAACCAAATAATCTAAAACGGAATTTGGAAAATCCTCTAACCAATAAGTGTAAAATGCTGAGGGCGTGGCTGCATCGGAGTGGCAGTAAAATTATTAATTCGTTTTGAAACTCCTCAGTTCGATTTGGAGCTCTCCTGTTTGGTTTTCTGTTTTGGTGCTCCAGTTTCGTGACTGATAAGATAAAACCCAACTGCATTTCGAAGGGAAAATACGAGCCATAATAACTCAAAAGGTGAATAAGTCCGAGCTAATTGTGACGTCACTAACGCCTTGAAATCGTCGCAATTTCGAATTGCGTTTAAGCAAAAGCCAGAGAGACAATAACTTGAAAACAGAATACAATTTTAGCCCTGATAAGAGCGTGAAATGAAAATGCATGCGCAATAGAGGAGAATCTGGATTGTGGAAATTTAATCAGCTTCATTCATCTATATTGCAGAAATGAGGATCGGATTGGAATTAGTTATCCTACTTTTGGGATTCCTCTCATCCTGTGTGGCTGTAAATTGTCCTTTTCCCTGTCGCTGCTCTTGGGTTGTGGATAGTCTGTATGCGGATTGTTCGAGGAGGAATCTGCTTACTTACCCAAGTTTCGATGGCATTCCCGTGGAGCACTTGGATTTGTCGGGAAATAAATTCGAAGAGTTCCCCACCCAATATGCAGATATTGACTCGCTGATCTACTTGGATTTGTCCAACAACCACATTTCTTCCATTGACAGTAATACCCTCATTGGTTTTACTTTACTGAGAACTCTGCTGCTGGGAAATAACTCCATAGAATCCTGGCAAGCTCTTAGTCCCAATGAGGCCTTTATAAATGCTCCGAGTTTGAAGAGACTGAATCTTGATGGCAACACTTTGGGATCCTTTAGCAACGGTGAGAGTTTCGATATGCTGACCAGTCAATCCCTCACTGAATTGGAACTGTCTTCCTGCGGAATAACATCTATCGGAGGAGATCAGCTAATAAATCAGCTGCCGAATCTGGAACGCCTTAACCTGGCCAACAATAAACTGTCTCAAATTGCCGCCTTGCCCTCGAGAACTTTGAGAGCCCTCGATCTGAGCAACTGCAACATTCAATCATTTTCCGGTTATTTCCTCGAAGCCATGGAAAATCTAGAGGTTCTCAATCTATCCAGAAATACACAGCTCCAGTTTGACAGCCTGTCTGATGATCCTATTCTCACCTACATGTTGCGGATATTGGATGTGTCTTACTGCAACTTGGACTCCATAGAACTCAACGGTTTGCCGCAATTAACCGAGGTTCGATTGCGGGGAAATCTTCTGAGAACAGTGGATGCCAATACTTTTGCCAATAATACCATGCTGGAAATCCTAGATCTCTCACAGAACGTGTTGCGACTCATCGGCAAAGATGCCTTTACCAACTTGAAAAGGCTTAAGAAGCTCAACTTGGCTTTCAATGAAATAGCCAGGTTGGATCGAAACTTCATTCAGAGCAACGATGTTCTAGTGGAGCTAAACCTCAGTCGAAATGTGCTACAGAAATTGACGAGGATTGTTTCCAATTCGGTGAGAATCATAAACATGAGTTGGTGTGAAATCACCGCGATAGAGAGCACTGCCTTGTCGAGTCTATCTGTCATCCAGAACTTGGACTTATCCAACAATCTTATCAGCGACATTCCCACTTTTATGAGATCGGCAACGTTGCAGCACCTGAATTTGGCCAACTGCAGGTAATAGATATTCTTTACACCATATTTAGTGCGAACCCTTCCTTTTATAGATTAAGTTTTAAATTTAATCGCACAATTATTTCACAAGGCAATTAAAATACTAATTGTAATTTTAACTTTAGATTTTTAATGCTTCCGTCTAAAATATCTATATCAATCAACTCCTTCGGTTTCTCTGCAAACCCTTTACATGTGACACAGTGTAATTATTAAACTATTTTTTTCAGGCTAACTACAGTACGAAACAACACCTTCAGAGAGTTCCCCGAGTTGGCGGATCTCCACTTGAATGGCAACCGACTGACGAGTCCCATTCCTCCCCAATATTTTTCGAGTAACAAGTTCCTGGATCAACTGTGGTTGGGCGACAATCCCTGGATTTGCGACTGCCACAGTCCGCTCTTCGTGGAGTTCTACGACTTTCTAACATCTAAACCAGCTAAGGTGGGTTTGTTTTTCGAAAGAAATTAAATAAAATACCTAATTTAATAATTTTCTCACAGATAAAAGACAAGAGCCACTTACGTTGCGCAGCACCTGCCATTTTCTATGGGAAACTTTGGGAGTTTGCCTGCTCGGATGTGTGGATTGTGACTGCCAGGAGCAGTAGCAATGGCGAAAAGGCCTGGTCGATTATAATGATCACACTCCTGGTTTTGGGTGCTCTGGTAATGGCCTACGCCTGCTTGCAAAAGTTCCTCAAGAAGCGAAAAATCAGGGAAAGCGATAGGGAGTTCGAGGAGAATGATGATGAGCTAAGGCGCATGTAAGGATAAGCTGTTTTCTATATCAAACCTTCTGTTTAATATTTTTAATTTCCACTAGTCGTGATCTCAACAACCGCATTCTGCAGGAGGAGGGTACCCCGAGTATTCAGCACACCCAGGAGATTAGTTTGCTGCCCTCCTATGAAGATGCATTGAGAATGCCCAAATTAGAGAGACCTGTGAAATCAATGCTGGATCTTTCAGGCCCACAAAGAACTAGAAATTCCCGGAAGCTAAGGAGATCGCAGACCCACGATCCAGAAGGATCTCAATCAGAGGAGGACGAGGGACTTCAGTTGGACTCCCGCCAGAGATTCCGCAGTGTGGAGATGCTTTCCAATCGAGATAAAGAGAGAACCGCTCAATATGGACCCTACAGACGAACTGGTTACATGGAGTACAACCAATCGGGAAGTCGGATTTTCAGCACCGAGGATGCCCGTTTCCCAGCAGCTCATTTGAAAACTCAAAACCTGCAGAGTGCTGAGCAGATTGGTAATTTCCAGAGCTACGAAAATAGTCCTTATACGAAACGAAAGCCAAAGATAGCAGAGATTCCTCCTTTCAAGAGGGTAAATATGATGGCAGATAGCGTGGAGTTCCTCACCGATCCGGAGTTCGAGGATGTGGCCAGTAAGCCCGGCAGTCCCTTTGCAAAGAGGAAGCCAAAGCCACCATTGCCACCACCTTCTAGTATGAAAGTCAGTGCCCAGGTGTACACAATGCAGCAGAGTCCTGTTCTTGAACTGGATCCCGCCATCGAGGATTACTTCAGTGCGGCTAAGAAGCAGCCTTCCTCCTCCACGATTGCCAGCGATTTCCAGGAGCTGGAGGAACCAGAACTGCGATCCCTTCCAGACGACAATCGATCGAGTATCTCCCGATCGGATGTGGAACAGGATCTGGAGCGGGGAAAGCGGAAGAAGCGGAAGAACTCCGCCAGTCGACGGGTGAGTGGCAGCTTCTCAGCCGCCAATGCCGCCGACAGCTCCTCCAGCGACTCCGAGCACCACGCCCTGGTCCACAAGCCCATGCGAGAGACCTTGTTTTAGGTCTAGACAGCGTAGGCCGTACTGTTAGTTACACCCGACTTGTTAGCATATCCATAAGACTATTTAAACGCACCAACAAATAAACTAACATTTTTGAGTAAATTGTTTTATGTTTACACAGTATAAAAATCTTAAAGAAAATTACCACAACCAGAAATTTTGTAAACCTATTTAGCCCATGGGTTTTTAACCATTAAAATTGTTTATTTATTTTTATTTGAATTTACAAGTCCAAAACTTTTAAATAGCTAGGCGGAATAGCAGCACTAAAATGCAAATTAAAGATATATACATTTTTTATTATTTGAATACCGTCCAAAAACCGTTAATATTGCTACAAATTAACAACTCAAAGTCTAAGAACAAGAGTAAATATTCGAGCGAGTCTTGTTTCAATAAATTTAACTCAAAGTATTTGTGACTTAAAATTTGAGTGAAAGCAAATAATATTGAGTGAAAGCTCGTTTGGCTACCGGAACTCCAAGAAGTGGAGTTTGAGTGAAAGGTCAGAGAAAAAACTTTGAATGTGAAGCATGAACATCGAAAATTGAGTAAAAGATAGAAAGGGTTTGAAACCTGAATATGTCGCCACTGGCGCCATCTTTTGATGGCTTTTATGATTTCATCTGACACCGAACTCGTGGCGCCATCTACATCACAAGTAACAAACTTTGTGCCTTGTATGCAAATTTTGAATATGAATTGCAGTTTGGGATATTACCGATTAATTTATTTCAAGCTTGAGATTTTCACAATAAAATTTACCAAAAAAGAAAAAGGTTTTTCCTTTTACAAGTAAGTTCCAACCAACTCATTCTGATAATCACAAAGAAACAACAAAACCCCGTTTTAAGTATATTTCAAAATTCGCTCGAATTTAATGAATTCACACAATATAATTTCACAAGAGAATGGAGCTTAAGTAGTTAACAGTGTATAGGTATGTTATAAAAGTACATATACAGTAAGTATGGTGTGTACATCACATGCAGATGCAGTTTGAAAACATATATTTTTCCAAAGAGTTTCTCTCCTTTCGCTTTCGCTTTTCTCCCCGATACTTTCAATATTTTCACTCGACGATCGTTTCCATTTTGTTTAATGCATATATTCTTTAACTTTGGTATTAAACTAGATTTACGCTTAGGATTAATTAATTTACTTATGGCTAGAACACTACTTGTCGGTCACACTTAAGACGGGGATTTTGGTTGCTTAACTCGAATAGTTGCTGTTTTCGTCGCCTTGGCTTCTTGTGTTATATGTTGTTAATGTTGTTGCAGTTGCAGATCCTCCAGATTTCGATCTGCTATAGGTTGCTGGTGATGAAGCTGAGGAGGGATTGCATCCCAGTCACCTTTCCTCCGATCTGAATCCTCTCTGAATTTGATAAAAGCAGTTAACCAAGTTCTGTTGCAAAACATAGGACTTTTATCATATTCGATCGGTTTGGAATAGGCACTATTTAATTGGGCGAGTCGGGAAAGTCGGTCTGTGTCGAGAGTTGATGGCTAGCTCGCTGGCTGTAACCCCACATCAGTGGCCATTGATGGGCACCTGGGCGCTGTGGGTGGCGGGTTCGACTTGAGGCTTAACAGGAGTGGTGATTATATCCCCGGCATTCGACTTGCTGCGCGTCACGAGCATGGGAGTCTTGGGTTTGGGGGTCTCCGTCAGCTTGATCTTAACCCTTCCCGTTTCCGGGGAATACACGGGGAGTACCTTCCGGATTTCGGAGAGGAGGGCAGGTAAGCTCCATCCGGTTCGTTGTTGTTTTGCTCGGCGGCTGGTTGCTGTTGGTGTTGGGCGTACTTGGAAGCCCTCGGAGATTGGGGAGTTGGGTAACGCGGACTAATGGGATAGTACTCGTGGGCAGCGGGTTCTCCTCCCTCGGGAGCATCCTTACCAGCTCCGTTTGCCGAGCCATTGCCATTGAGAAGCGGCTGCTGGTTAGCCGGATCCTTTGAATCTCCGTTTTCATAAGGCTTCTTTACAATCTGCGCCTCATCCAGTTTGGTTTTCTCGCCAATCAGAGGAGAGTGCTCCTGCCCGTTGCCATGGCCATTCTTCTGCAGCGGCTTGCCCAACTGCTTCTTGTCCATATCGAGTAGCTCCGTTTGCCTCTGGGCTTCGGCATCTCGTGCCGCAGCATTGCTGTCGTACTTGCAACGCTTGATGGCCACAAAGAGCACCATGCCCACCACAATGAGACCAATTACTCCAAGTAAGTAGTAAATGGCACTGCTCTCGTCCTTCTTCTTGCCCATCTGGGCGGTCAGGATGTCCGCGGATTCCTCGCTCTCATCAACAGGACCATCGGTGACCACATCCTTCTCCACAGCTGTTTCCAATCGAGTGTGAACCACTGGCACAATCACCTCCTCCTCCACGGGCTTCTTCTCCTCGTTGCCCTCGAAGATGCCCATGTGGTTGCTGAAGACGCTGGTGTCCGGATTCTCAAGGGGCTTGCTATCGTCCTCATCCTTGTCATCCTGCTCCTCGCTGTCGTTATCCTTACCATCCAGTTCGTCCTGCGAGGCGAGCTTTACTTTGGAGGCATCGGGAATGATGAGCGCACCACCACCGCTGCCGGAACCCTCGACATCCTCTTCATCCTCGTCCTTCACGATGTGCTCCTCGATCTCAGGGACCTTTTGCTCCTGAACAGCTGACTCCGCAGCTTCGGGCTCGGGAATTGCCTCCTCCAGCAACTTGAGCTCCTTGTGGGTTTCGCTTAGGTCACCAGATCCCTCCACCTCATCACCGGGCAGCGGTTCCTGGGGGGGAGCGCACCTTCTTCGGTGTGGCACTGCGATCGATGGGCAGGTAGTCCTTGCCCAGCTCCCAGTTGTCCTCCTCCTCGCGTTCGCCTGAAGCCACCGCAGGTTGGTCGCCCATCATCAGTTCGTTCTCCTCTGCCTCGAGCCACTGCTGCTGCTCCCTCTTGCAGATCTCGTCCTGCTTCAGCTGCAGCCAGGAGCGACCCTTGAACTCCAGGGGAAGTGAACAGACCACCGGGTGCTCCATGTACACCAATCGCTCCACCAGCCAGTTGCGAACCTCCAGAGTTTTGCAGGAGCAGTTGATCTTATTGTTGCTGAGCTCCAGTTGGCGCAACTGATGCATGTGGGTCAGTTCCAGTGGCAGAGTGGTGATGTTGTTGTGCTGCAGGTTGAGCACTTGCAGATGCTGCGGCAGCCTGGCCAACTTGTCCGAGGTGAGGCGGTTGTGCTTCAGGTTGAGTCGCTTCAAACGCTTGCCAAGGTGACTGATATCCGTCAGCTGATTGTGGGACAGATCAGCGGAGGTCAGTTCCGGCAGCTTGTCCAAAACATGGCTCAAACGGGTGAGGTTCAGGTGGGAGAGATCGAGCGAATGCACGGGAATCTCCGCGTAGAAGGGCTTCTCCGCCACCCTCAATCCCTTGGTGCCATTGCACTTGAGGTGGTACAGTGGCTTATGCGTGTGTTGCGACAAACTGCAGACACAGTCCGCCGGGCAGTCGGTGGGCGGGCGAGCGGGCGTGGGCGTGGCAGCGGCCAACACGCAGAGCATCAGGGCCAGCCAGGCGGTCAACTGGGAACGCTCCATGGCTGTGAGTGTGGATTTTGGCTGGTCAACTGGCAGTGGATCCTTCTTGCTTCCTCTCTTGGCGTCTTATCTGAAAAAGCAAGAATAAATGTTAGAAAGAATTCCATTACAATTAGGAATAAAAGGAATACTATTTAATTTTTAAGAAATATGAACATTTCATAGATCATTTGTAAAATATTTTGATCAGACTAAACCATAACTTTTTCTTTATCAACAAAGAGTCCTCTTACAAAACCTTTTCTTTGCACCCAAAAATATTTATCTTTTCCCATGGATAAAATTTCTAATAATAAACACAAACAAATCATATTATTCATTTAAGGCTTAACTCGTTGTTTACCTGTGTCTATATCTGTTTATTAACGAAAATCATTTAAAGTGTATTTCCAAAAATTAAACAAAAAGCAAACCAATGTGAATCACACTTTCCCGAAAAGTATAGATCTCAACAACCGTGGACTTTGCCCATCAGCCATAATGATATTGTATATAGAATGTATTCACCCGCTACAAAAACATTGTGGAAATCCAAGAAAAATATAGGAAAGTACCTTTTAGACACTCAACCAAAATGAGAAATATATTTATTGTATTTTTCTGCAGCACTTTCTTAGAAGTTCGACTGAAACTGACTGTCTTTGAACGGAAACTAACTGAGTTTTTGGCACTTATCTTTGCCTGGCAACTTTGCCAGATTCTTCGTCACTGGTTGCGTCATGGCCACATTCAAACCTCCACTTCGATATTCCATGTTCCACCTTTCTATGGCTCCTCTTTCTCCCAACCCTATCGATATTTGTTATCGGTGCTAGATTCGCTTATCGCCGCTGTTCAATCCCGAGTATTTGACGCTATCTGTGCGAAGTGTAATTAATATTTCACTCGTTTGTTCCGTGACATCAGCAGAACCTCGCCCAAGCACCTGACCCACTCTACCCATTAGTTCTTCCCAAAAACAAGTGAGTCAGTCTGCAGGAGAATCGAATGGGATCTGAAGACTCGCCAGCTGATACCCACTAATGGAAGGGGGGTGGGGGGAGGTGAAGGCCTTGGGCAGTTGCACTCGCTTAATCAGCGCAGATTGTCAGCGGCCCGCTTTTAATCCCCGTCTTCTGTTTATTGCTCGCTTTCCACGAGCCACGCAAACTGATTGACGGCTGTCTCGTGGATGCAATTTAAGTGCAACTGGCGCTCGTTTAGATCGGTACAACCCCCTCCTCCTCCCCCCCAGAAACCCCCTCGGTGATAAACCCTGAGCCTGTGACCGCAAAAACTGAAACTCTCGTGCAGAGAGCAAAAACTTTGGAGTATTTTTAGCACAGGTTGTGATTCTATTTAAAACTCTAAAAAATAATAACAAACGTGCTTGATAACTGCAAAATCATCATTACGTAACAAATATATTCTATTTGAATTATTTTAATTAGCTATTAAAGTGATGCTTATCATGTACGGTTTAAAGAATTGTTTTCAAAAATAAGAAAATATATGTATATACTGTATATAGTGTGAGTCATATGCAATTTTACAATAAACAAATTTTCCCAAATTTTTTAATGGGCCCTTTTTTCTAGAAAAAAAGAATTGTTATCAAATATAAGACATATGTATTGAAATTGTGAGTCATATAAATGATTACGACAAAATCGTAAAAAATGTATTTTTATCAAGGTTCATAAACTTTGTTGCAATTATGGTTATTTATTAAAAACAAAACAAATTGAAAACGCCATTTTAAGCATAAACAACAGATCCCGTTTAAAAACAAACTATGTATGTATATTATAAGCCACTAAAAATGAAAAATTATTTTTCAAAGATTGTTTATCAAAATTACCAACCAAGACTCAAGGGTAAATCAATTAGTAATAATAGAATTGGTTAAATCTTTACGCTTGACTCGAAAATGAACATCTAATAGTTTACTTTTAGATAGTTATTTTCTCAATATTTAATGCTTTTAAACGGACTTAACACAAACAAATTGGAATTCCCATTTGAATCAGCCTGAATAAATTCCTGTTTCCGGTGGGTTTTTCGCTGAGTGTGGCGCAATGGCGATGCCCAATCCTAATCAGCAGATAGACGAGATCTAGAAAAGATGCCGGGTTGTCTGAGTGGCTCTGCGCTGCAGTCGCGTAGCCAGCTAAATTTGCAATTTGTAACGCGGACTTGAATTATTCAACAGTTGACTATATTTACATGCGAGATGCGGCACACTGAAATAAACTGAACCAAACTACTTTTCAGCAAGGGTTGCCAATGCTGCACGTGTATCTCGGCGGGGGTTTCCCTCGAGCTTTCCTCTTTTCCCTATTTGTGTTTTGTTGTTTTTTTTTTTTTGCAGCGCCCTTTGATGCGATGAGGCTGAAAATTGGAAATGGTCACAAACATGCAGCTGCTGCTGCTGTTGCTGCTGTTTGTGCAAATAATTGAAGACTCCCCGCCCCTCGGAAGCAGTAAATACCAACTGGAAATGAGGCGTCACACGAGCATGCAAAAACAGGAGGAAAAAAGCAGAAAAACAAAAAATAAATCTGCAGCATCTCAAGGGGGAGCCCAAGGTCAGTGTCATTATGCGGCCGTTCGTCCGAGAGATCCGAAATCGGATTCAAAATCGGTAAGCGACGCGGAGACACTTGAAAAGTGGTTTCCAGCAATTGTGTCACATCGTTTTTGGCTAAACAGCCACTTCTTTTGGCTCTTAGTGTTGACAAATTGCCGCGACTTGGATGCACCAACGGAACTTTCACCGATTGGCAAAAGAGGGAAAAGGGGGAAAATGGGGAAAAGGGGGAGGTAGACATTTATCAAAATCTGTCAATTGCTGAATTGGTAATTTGCAGCTGCCACCTGTTGCGCCAAATGCAATCAATGCGGTTAATTGCCTCTGGCTAAAATCTTTAGCTGCATCAGCGATCCTGCACTGATATCATAATTCGATCACGGGTTTTGCTTAATTACTTTCGTACTGCATGGATTACCCCTTTCTTCCTGCCACACGAGCACTTTGATGTTGCGGCAACAGGAAGCTGAAATTAAAGAGGGGAAAATGGGGGAAAGGTCTTAACACATCCACCAAATGCTTATGCCACTTAATGGCGAATACGAGACGAACTTAGAATAAACCAAACCGTTTGCAAATTGAGAGAAATCAGCGCCAGACAACGGCGAAAAAAAATTTTAAACGATGACAAATGTTCAACCTTGACAGAGGCAAACAAAAAAACAAAATAAAAAAGAGTGGAGAACAATCTTTAGTTTCTGTCTTCGAGTTGAACTGGAAATATTGTAGCGGCTCCAACAACTCGTTCTTTCACACTCGAACAAAAGCGTATGAAAAGCCACAAAAATTAAATCACGTCATGCTGCGATCGCCGCTGAAATAAATTGTTATATACGTATATTTTTAGATTTGTGCAAATCTTTTTTATACATTTCAATTAGCCTCCGCTCGACGAGAGCATTGTGCCCGCTGCCGCCGCCACGAATGATAAAATTAAAAGTGTTTAGTTGCTCTTTGTTTGGCCACATAACACATAAATAAATACACAAATAAACGTAGATATGCAAATAGACGTGGATCTTCTGGGCCACTCGCTTAAGATTCCATTTTCGCTGCCGCATTAGCATTTCTATCGAAACCTTCTGCGAATTCGCAACATTTCTTCTGCATTTTCTCTTTCAGGGGGGAGGAGAGGAGAAGCAAAAAAAACTGATGACGCCGGGCAATTAAAACATCAGGTGATTTGGGTATTTTACCTGGCGCAGAAAAAAATCCAAGCTGAAGCTGCCGCAAACGTTGATGTGTTGACCGCATTAAGCCAAGAAAAAAGCGGCAAAAAAAAGACCGCCAAAGCGAGAGATGACGTCTAAAGACGGCTTGTGAGTGAGTGAGTCAATCGTTCGGATTTGGCCAGCACACAGCTCTCAGCCATTCACAATAACCACACACAATATATCCACGAAGCCCATTCAAAACGAGCGGCGGCAATGGAAAGACAAATTAGCATATTCTAATTTCCAACTCGCTTCAACTTATAGTTGACAGATCGAGTGAGGTATATGTACCCCACTATATATGTATATAGTTCCATATATAATGACCCACATTGCGGTCGGAGTACGCCGTCAACATTATCAATAAAGTGCCATTTAAGCATTTTGCAATTCAACTGTTCAATCAAGTGCAAATGAGCCTAAATTCAGGCGTAACCTGAAAAACTCTTTCCCATATTGAAATCGCGTTCCCGTTCCCTTTCCCGTTCTCTTTTGCTTTTTAAACTTAACTTAACTTCGCTTTACCTTGCTTTGCTGGCTGTGCAGTGTTTAATTGATTTCCACGAAACGGGAGAAAACCAATCACCAAGCCAGTGTGCATAACCAAAATATGAGTAGCGAGCGTTGGCCAAAAAATACAGCACACACTCGTAAAAGGCGAAGAGACGGGAAAAAAGTGCAGAGCGTAAGCTCAAATTATGTGAATTATGCAAAACGTGTTGGCCGAAGCAGAAAGCCAAAGTCAATGTACCAGATAGTGGTCATTATTAAGCAGAAAGGCAGACCCTCCGGCCAACATTGCGTATACGCCTCGTAGAGCGATTCTGTAAGAGAGACGAGATAATCCACGCAGCACAAGGCACCATCCATCTGAACTTGACCTACGATTTCGTCGGCTATCAGCGATCGGCTGATTTTTTCGCCTCTGGGCAGCCGGCCAAAAAATGTTTGCTGGCGGAAAAACAGGGCGCACAGAATCTTGACATTCAAAATAAAAATGCTCTACAATACTCTCCCTCTCAATTGAATCGACGACTGCGGTTGCAGGAATTCTCAAAATAAACAGAGACCACAAAAAGAAAATCCGGCGAAAGAGAAAGGCGGCCTTAAAAATACATTTTCATTCGGATTTCTTTCTTATTTTCGGGCTTCCTCTTGCAATCTATGCAAACAATTCAACGCCCACACGGCAGCCCACAAACTTAAATCTTTGCCATTGGGACAAACATATACAACTGATGATGGACTTGGGTGTCAGCGAGTGTTGATTCTGATTAGTGCCAAACGCCATTTCGAATGACTGTTTCTGTCAGTGGCCAGAGGTGCGAAGCCCAAGAAGCCGTGAGATCAGATTGTGAATGGGAAAAGCCACCAGAAGCAGTGCTCATTTTCGAGGAAATCTCTCTTACTCATGCCAAACGATTGTGGTTCATTAAAATTTGGTAATGAAATGAATGGAAATACTTGCAGATGCTCTACAAATATTTATAGATAATTAATCATTGGGAAATATTCATTGAAATGTTTAAAGTATGATAATAAAGAATTTACTTTATTTACATAAAATAGTATTTTAACGATTGTGGTTTATTTTTAATTTGGTTATGAAATTTATGCAAATACCTTAGGTTGTAAATTAGTATTTTTAGAAGTATTTTAATCAAAAACATATTTCTTTTCTGTAAAATTTATATGATCATTTAGAAATTGGGTAATAAAATTTATACAAATACTTGCAGATGATCTAAAAGTATTTATAGACAATAAATCATTGGGCATTACTTGTAGCTCTACAATATAATAAGTGACTTTTGTATGCATATAATATTTATATATTTAAAGTAAAATGTCTGTGCATATAGTATTTATATATTTGTTATATGTAAAGAATCTTGAATATTTTATTAGCTTATAGATATAAAACTCAACCTATAATACATTATTAATGTATTTAAAATAAAACGAGACACAACAACGAATCTGTTTTGTTGCGATTTGTTTTTGTTGCCAACGGCTTATAGGTTGTTCGAAAGTTGAGTGATTTTTCGTAATTACTATGCCGAGTGATATGGGTGGAAAGGTTCCCACTTAGCGAAAAGGAAACAGCAGCTGACTTTCATTGAACTTCGCTGGCATTCAATCAGAAACACGTTAATTTAGTCGGAGCTCCCAACTGGAAGCCGATCAATGCCTTATAATTGTCCGGAGTTTATCAATAACGAGTTCCAGCCGACTTGGCTCAGAGATCAAATCAACTCGGCGGGAATCGCGCCACGTAGCCATAATTAGCTGATCCGAACTACAATGTTACGTGTAGATACAGATGCGAATACATCTATTCCTGTGTTTGTGCATACTAATAGTCGAGTTAAGTAAATATCCACACTCTCGTTAATTGGAAAAAAACGAGCGAAACCCTGCAGATCGTTCTGCTGTTCAGCAAATAAAAAATACAAAAAAAAAGAACAAAAAACAAGTCGTGAGCTTCGGTTTCGCTTTTCGTTTTTCATTTTTGGGCAACTGATGGTGATGCAATTGGCATAAAGTCAGACTTGGCTAGATATTTCGCATTTCCAAATTAACGCATTTGTGTGGGCTGCGTTTTTCGGAATCGCCAATGAAATGGATTCCGGCTGCGACCTTCCCCCGAGTGAATTGCATCCCATTAACACATCGACTGCTTCCGATTAGGCTGCAAATAAAGCGTAATTCGAGCAATTTACTCACAGCTCGAGGTGAGTGTTGAATTTATTCGCCCGTTACACTGCCAATAAATCTCCATGTTGCGCCATTAAATATCAATCGAACGATCTGACGATTAAACTATGCGGCTATGGCCGAAATCTGTCTTTAGACCAAACAATTTTGTAGTTAGCCGAGAGGAATTTATACGGCATGCCACATAAATGCCAAGACGACGCCTGGCTCTGGCGAGAAATTATTTGCCAATCTGCACCTGCGAAATGCATTCGCCTGCCTCTTTTGTTTCCCCTTTGAATCCCCGAGTGTTGTTCTCTGGTTTGCCTACAATTTACACTGCGCAGCTGGGGTTCAAGTTCAGCCAGCAAAATCAGCAAATGGATTTAATTATGCTCGCTGCTTAGTGACAGTGCTATACACTCATCATTGTTTTCAAACTCATTCTGAGCGGAGAATGAATGACACTCGTAGTCAAATAAATCTAATTGGGGTAGTCAGACTAGACAGTCACTAAATAATCAACTTTTTAAACAGAATTTAAGTAATAGAAATATTGAAAAATATTGCAAATATTTAAAATCATCTTTATGGTTTATTTACATTGCACAGCCCAAGTTAATTTATTTAGCAGAATTTACTGATGAGTTTTTCAAACCCTTTCTAGCAGAGAATAATTAACACTCGTAATAAACTACATTTAATGGCTTTCATCAGACTAGACAGTCACTAAGCATTAAAGATTTTGTACACATGGTTATAAAATGTATATACACCTATACTTTGATATGCTCTAGAAAAATTTAAATGACTGGCAACATAAATCATAGGACCGCGCTTCCTTTTATATTCAAAATCATCCAAGTGTTATTCCTAGTTATGTATTTTGCTTGTATTTACCGATGAGCAGTTTCATAGAAATCCTAAGCGGACAATAATTGACTCTCTTAATAAACTACATTTAATTGTTGTATGTCATTATCTGCCAATTGGTGAATGGAATTCCAAGAAAAACTAAATGCCAATTCATGCAAGGTGTTGGACAGGAAAACTGACTCAAACTCATTGACTTAGCTGGCTGATGTCATAACAACACTTATGAAATTTCGTGAAATTATTAACGACAAGTGACGTCATGAAACGAAAGCCGAAAATGTGCCAAAATTGAAAATGGCAAGACCGATTTGGAAACTCCGTCATCGATTGCGACACGAGATCTCGGAATTGGCCTGAACTTGGACTTGCCCAGCTGTTTTTGTAGTTTCCTATAAAACCCGATATCGCTTGCTGTATCAACATTTGCCCAGGGGTTAATTTCAAGAGCAAGTCTTGACCTTCCAGCGAGTTGTACATGCATCGTATGTAGTGCAGTGTAATTACAGGCAGTAACCCATTCGCATTCCCACTGGCTGCTGTTGTTGCACAGAAGGCGACTGTCGGCCCGAAAGAGCCCATCAATTTGTACCATCATTTTACACTCTAAGAAAAAATCATCAAGACTTCTATCAAAATAAATAGTTACAAAACTTATATGTAACAAACCTGTTAGTAAAAAATAAATCAATTTCTTTATGCTTGAATTATTGATATTCATTTGTTAATACACTTGAACTAATAAAAGTCAAAATTATATTACTCGAAGTCCTTTTTAATGGAACTAGTTTTATATTGAATAAAAAATTTAAATACAGGTTAACTCATTTCTATAACTTGCAGTCTTTAAACATAATAATAATAATTTACAGTAATTCTTATAAATTTTAAAAATATTTCCGGTTTTTAGCTGAATTCATGCAAGTTATGTGTGATTATTGAAAAATGAGCTTTAAATCATATTAATGATTCCCAAACGAGGTTCCTTGCTTTGGTAATAGAAATATTAATCCCGAATCAAAACGCCTAGACCAATCAACGAATTTTTTCCGAGTGTGCAAGTGGGACACTCCTCCAGACAAATTAGCCTGCGGTTAGCTGTGTGGATGCATTCGAAGATCGCATGATCGCACAGCCGTTTTTCATGGCTTCGTTTGGCAGTTGACACGTTAAGAGCACGCACGTTTGCCAGCCATTTAAGTGGCCCCAGCATCTTGGCCATTGCCACCGGCCAGAAGATGGAGGAGCCGATAAAGCGGAGAGCGGCATTTGACAGTTATGACCACTTGCTTTATTTTTAGAGCCAAAAACTGCTAGTCAAGTCGGCAATTCGAGGTAGCGCAAAGCCAAGCAAAACTTCGGCAAAAAGCAAAAGCAAACCAAAGCCGGCCGGCACCCACAGACTGGCTAAAAAGCTAAGAGAGCAAAATAATAAAAAATAAAACAAACTCGGCCGAAAAGCAACTGAACTGGTTTGGTTTTTTCCCCACAATGATGACGATGCCGCCGAATGACTCGCATTCCCAGTTAGAGCGCCGAAAAAGATCTTGAACTTTTTGGGTTTTCGGGGAATGCCAATTTGGGGTTTGCACAACTCAATCCTTACCTTCTATAAGACATGCATTCGCCGATCCTTGGATCCTCAGTTGGGAGCTAAAAAAAAGGAATAAAAAACGGATTTTAATATCAATGATTCGAAAGAGCGCACCTTGCACTCGCGGAGTTTTCTATTTATGTGCGCAATTATTTCTTGGCTTTGATTTTAATTGTGTGCAATTAAAGTCTTAATTGCCCGCCCGTCTAAATTCATTTTTAACGAACTTTGCCTCGCCAATAGACTGTCATTCGCTGCAGCAGCTGTCTCTTTGGTTATTAAACTCATCCTAATCGCCAGTGAAGTGTGAAAGTTTCGCCAAAACACATAAAGACTCTCCTCTAAACTGGGGAATTAAATTTGAATAAAATTGTCGGGGGGTCAGCAAAGTTCAGCCTCCAAGGTGAAGAATCGTACGGCATCTCTTCTCCAAAAGATGATCATGAATTAGGCAATTAATGTCGCGATGACTGAATCATTGCCTCGTCGAATCCCAGGGCGTTGCTCATCATCCATTGTTGGGTTCGAATAGTGAAGAGTGAACAACCTGCTGCCTGATTGCTATGCAATGGACGTGACCGAAAATATTGTCACGTAATACGTAAAACTCCCACAGAGTTGGAATTCAAAGGGGGGTTTTCGTTTGTGAATGGTTCGTAGGTTGGAGATCCACATGCAAATTAGCTGAAATTGATGGACTGGTCAGCGCTTCTGATCTGTGGAATCCACTGCCACCTGCCAGAGATTCTGAGATCAGAGAACCACATGTTGAACTTGAATTGTTCGCAGATCGAAACTATTTCCACGAGATGTTTACACTTTGAGTAAACAATCCATTGGCCCATTCTGCGTCACAAATCCCATACTTCCAAACTTCCATATGCCTCGGCCGGAATTCCTTTCATTTCGGCGAGCTTTCCACACTATCTCAGCGCCTGAATTTTTTATCTTATCGCGCAACATTTGCTAATTATAGATAGAGCCATACCCCAAAAAAAAAAGCACTAAACACTGTCATGTGCACTTGAGCCCCGGGATTTCTGGCTCTCATTTGCCTTTGACAATTTTTCTGTTCTAGAATGCACTCCATTGCGGAGGCATTTCCACTTTTCACCCACTCGAAGGGGTTGCCCAACGATATGGTTTTGATTGCGCCCCGATAACAGCTTGTTTCGCCTTATCGAAGCACACTCGTTGCTCATCCGCATTGGAACAACAACCAAACTATGTTATGTATATCTAATGGGGACAAGGTTGACACATCCACCAAAAATGGGAACATGAAGTGCACTCTATTTCTATGTTTTTTATCCGAGAGCGTTACTGCATTCGAGATCGAATTGCCTTGGATCGAGACGGAACATAACACCTCGAAAACCGAGAAGCCAGACGCGAGGCGCCAATTATCGATCAAGTGGAGAGGGTCGGCCGAAATGTGCAAACAAGTCTTGGTGGAATTGAACTTGAAACACAAACTAAATGAGTGATTCATTTTTAAAAAATGTTAAAGCCATCATATGCTTAACTTTATTTAACTGAAAACTGAAATCATGGTTAGATTATCAAAAACTTATGACTGATTCATTTGCTACCGTTTAGCATAATTAATAAATATTTTTAGGAAAGTCCACACACATATTGAATCAAATAAAAGAATAGAAGAATGGCATTGAACTTGAGTTACAAAACGAAAGAATGAAAAGCTCTTCAGGAAACACAACCTTGATATTTAATCAGTTAGTTAAAATAATTTTAAAACCCAAGCCAAAGAAGTGATAAATTTTCAGGAAACTTTACACATTTCCTGCGACTGTATACATTTCCGATAAATTACCGGGCCTCGGGTTATAGATAAGTTTTTCTGCGCCTCTCGCATATATAATATATATTAGCACCCACAAAGCTTAACTTTTTTGCCTGGCTGAGTGGCTGGGCAGCGAACTATTGGCCATAAAGCCGATTTCTGGAAACTGCCTGAAAAACAGTTTTCAGTTCGCACTCGCACACCGCTGTGAATTATGCGCTGGAAATTAGCACCTTTGGCCAAAGTCGGAGGAGGATTACGCAAGAGAGCTGGAGTTGAGTTTATGGCTCCACTCGGAGATGGCCACATCCACATCCACCTTCGCAGTTTTCGCAACTGGGGATCACGTCTCTATCTCCCCAGTTGATTGATAATCTCATTAGGCGATGACGTTGCATGACTTTTCGCTTTTAGACCTGACAAACGGCACTCTAAGTTATTAATATTTCTCCTTCGTACATCTCGTGTCCGAGTGATTCATCCCGCTTTTGAAGTGTCAACCACAAAACGGAGGAGGCCTACCCTCCAGAATGGATATATAGACCGGATCGCCTAACCTATCCGTATCTCAATAAACACATGAATCAACTGGCTGCCGTGTGCGGTTTCCAGTGGCTTTAGTTTTTACGTAAACGATTCCGAATTGCAGGGCTCCCAAAGCTTGTTGCTTCGGGTGGGTTTTCTCATATGCACAATATATATTATATACGATATACATCATATATGGCCAGACAGATCGGATCGGGTTGAATGAGGGGGGTTGTCGGGGTGGCTGGAAGCCAAGTCGCGTAGGTAGCCGAGATTTCATGTGAATGCGTGCCACTTCTGTCTCTCTTTCGGTTTTTTCGCTTTTTTTCTTTTAATAAGTTTGCAATCGCTCGAGTTGCTTTTTAAGTGCTCATTGCCGGGGGTTAAAAGAGTAACCGTTTTATTATAGTTTACCCATCCCCCTTTCGTATCTTCCTTGCCTTATTTTTTGGCAATTATATAACGTGGCGGTGTTGGGAAATAAGGTCAAGTTTGCCCCAGAAAACCCAGACAGACCGCAAATGCAACTCGGTTAATAAAAAAAACTAAAGCGGTTCGGCGAGCCACTTGCTTCAGTTCGGAATTAAAACCCCGAACCCTGCCCTTTTGCATTGGGGAATTGCTCGGCGGCGAGATTAATCCCTTGCGGATTACTATCACAAAGCACGCACTAAATTAAGCTGATTTCGCCTTATCGAAACAGCCAGACTTCTAGGCCTTTTTTTTGTTTTTTTTTTTTTGGGTTATCAGAAACGCAAGTTCAGAGGCAAACTCACAAACACTAAATCTTGATTATTTGTACTTGAATATTTTTGCGGATTGAGCACTAGAGCACTTTTGTTTGATCAGATCTCTGTGTTTTATAAATTCTTTGCAATATTTGCTCGAGTACGTATTGTACTCAGGTTAGCACTGTTTGTATTTGTCTTTTGTTCTTTGGCACTGAAAAACAGGGAGTCCTTCAACACGCGATGCGAATGAACGTCTACCGATTTGAACTGGCGACTGCAGACTGGCGGAGATCGCCGAGATTTCTCAGACGGCTATCATCACAGCAAAGTGTCGCAGACGTTAAGACAAAAAGTATACGAGAAAGCATACAAGAATTCGAATCTTTTAAAAGGGGGAGAGAGCACCCAAAAACGCCGAGAGGGATGACAATGAGGGCAAAAAACAACAGAAGCAGGGGAAAAAAACCAGCAGCACGTCACAAGCAATTTAGACTCGTAAATCGCCCAATGCAAGTATCTAAGTATCTTGATATCTGGCGGTTTGGTTTCGATTTTGCCCGCTGCCCACCAAAAGATTCTTTTTTTCTAGTTTTTTTTAGTTTTTCTATAATATTTCGCTTGTTCGGCGAGCGTGTGTGGCAACGGAAACGGTATAATTTTTAATTACCTAGACAGGGGGATGTGGAACTCGGAACGCTGCTTTTTCGGATCGTAATTTTTTATAGTTGTTTTTTTAGATTCGCGCACGCACCCGACGACACGTCTCGACTTTGGAGTTGACCGAGGTAAACAAAGCTCGATACGATACGTACGATACGAAACGATACGATATACCTGCGAAAATCGAGAACCGAATAGACCCTAAACCGAAGATCGGAGACCGGAGATCGGAGATCGGGGGATCGTATATATCGCAGGCGACCGTTCGCTGGGAGAGCTGAACACCGAATGAATCGCTATCGGAAGCCGCGATTCCAAAGAGCCACGAACTGAACAACTTCAGCGGAGCGGGAGATACAAATGCGTTCCGCACAGAGCGAAAGCTACCGGGAATCCAGCAAAATACAAAAAACGCGAGAGAGAAATTGAGATTGAGAGTGCAAAACCAGACGGTGTATCTTTGAAATACTGGAGAACACGTGGATGGATAGCCGTTGGCACACGCGCTACAGAACTTTGTTTGGCTTATGAAACCCGTAGGAAAGGTGCAAAAATTATTCACAGATAGTGGAAATTAGAGAGAGAGAAAGCTTATCAGCGTACTTAGGCGTTATCAGTCGATGCGATTACGCGGCGATCTACGAGTCTAAAAATATTACTCTCCCATACATTTTGTTTGCTTTACACACGGCTTGCGTATTTCACTTCCTGCTGTAATGCAAAAGTCACAAAAAAGTAAAAAACCGATGTTCTTTTTATCAAGAGTTTTGGCATATCTTATCGTTTTCGAATATTCTTTTCCGCCCTCCGATAAATTTCGTTACTTTTTCTCCGAAACTCTGTCGCTTTTTGGCAACAGACAATTAAACTTCATTTTCAAAACGAAACTTCAACTGAAACTTGAAGTTGATGCGTGGGTGGGTTTTGTTTACGTTTTATTGGGTTTGTGGGTCAAAGTTGATGTTCATTCGAGAATGAATCGAGTGAACTATCACTACCACTACTACGAGTTTCTATGGGTTCACCTATTTCTATGTAAGCTATGTACAAAATGTACTTGTTTATGTGTATGCGTAGCAGCTGAGTGGCAAAAGTTGTGTTAATACGAATGTTAAATATTTGGGCTTGATTTTATCTTATCGCCATGGGCTCTCACATTCGCGGTGTTTGTTCTCGATGGCTCTTCGGGTGATATCACCCTCTCGATTCTCAAGACCTCTTCGGCCCTTTGCCTAATTTACGCAAGAGCCCGGTGTCGACCGCTAATTAAACGGATTTTCCATGACTTTATAAAGAGAGAGGAAATATAAGAGCGCCATACGTTATTATCTCACCATCCAGAAATTCGCACCCCCAAAACTTTTCTTTAATCGTTCAACAATAAATGTACGGCTGTTTGCTCACCTTTTGAGTGGAAGTCAGCTTTTAAAATTATTGAAACCCCCCAATAAATTTCAAATTTAAAGAAATCTTTGTTTAAATAATAATAAAAATATTTAATAATAACATAATGTCATCATATGTATCAATAAAAATATTTATTACAATTTTATACTCTTTTTGCAATCATTGATTTTAAGAATGAAAAAAAATTGTTTAAAGAATATGTATAAACCAGTTTTCTTTTCCTTATTTATTTATTCAATAGAATCTTTACTGGCTATATTACATCACCTATTCTAAACACAAGCAATTTTTATATAGAAAATTGAGAAGTTTTCTACCTTACTTATGTTCTTGCTACCTTATTTGTTTAACCTACGTTTACTGGGTATCGAACTGAGCAAAATGAGATCCGCCTGTTTATCGAAAACGGATAAAAAGGCGTCTAAATTTCACCGGTGTCCGACAATTGTTTATCTCACCCGACCTCGATCCTCTCCAGGTCTTCGCGTACGTCAATCGATCGGAAGTGTCCAAGAAACCAAGAAACCGAAACAGGCAAACTGATAAAGTGTGTGAGAAGTCTGAATGAATTACGGTTTTGGCAACGCCCAAAATCTTAATTGCAAATCGGGTTAGTTTGGAGCACTGACGTCATAGTGCGACATATATGAACGGATCATGGGCGAATATAGAATGGCTTATGGAATTGCAAAAGATGTCATCCAATGGATTGATCTGAGCTGAAAGCTGAACTAACAGCGAAGTTTTAGTTTCGCGGCGCCTTGTTCTGCCGCCCGTTTGTTTGCTCAAATTATTGTTTGGCCAACGGTTCTATTTACCTCGGTAATTATATTACATATTCAGGCGGTTCCAGTGAAAAAGCCCTTCAGTTCGGTTGGCCAGGTTCCCATGCGTCATGCTGTTCGGTGATTTTGGTGGCGCATGAACGATGGAAACACTTGACGAAAATTGACTCTGTTCTCGATTAGATAGTCGTGATATTTATTAATAACATTAGCCCGCTCCGCCTGACAAATATATCACTTCTCACCTCCGACAATCGCGCAATCAGCTGGCAACTGGCGAGGAGTTATGCAATTTTCAGAAGCGACGGGATTGTTTGTTTGCCCAGCGGAGGAAACTCAGCACCTCAAGGTTAAGGCGTTGGCTTTCCTGGTAGCAAAACAAACTCCTTTAGTTAAGAATGAGTTCTTGGATCTCTGGTTTGTGCCACCTGGGGCACACTGTTTGTTTCCCCGGCAGCGTTTATTTAATTGATTAGAGCACCTGACTAATTTAGTTTCGAGGGGGCTTTTGCACATCGACAACTTTGACAATGCGATTAAAGTTAATTTTTGGTTAAATATTGATATGATATCTTTATGGTACGCCTGTGTGCATTAGCGATTAATTAAGGCCGCCAATGCAAAGGTTATGTAAGCGCTGAAGTGGAAAAGTTTCAATTTGCTGGTGGCTGGCAAATTTAATATTCCTTGAGCTGCATTCATCTCAGAATCTCAGTAAATGCTAGCCGTTTGACCCACTTTTATGAGATTTATGGACTCCGTTTCGTTTTCATTGACTCACTGACTGAGTGACTGACTAGGCGAAAGTGCCACAATGGATCGTCGATCGAGTGACTTTAGCTATTCTGTTTTTCTAGGGAAACTCAAAGGGGAGGGAGGGTGAGGCAAATGAGCTGCAGTGAACCGGAAATTCACAATTAACCGTCAGTTCCCCACTCGAACCGAGTTTCATAACCCACGGAATCAACTGCATCTGCATTTGGAGTCGACTCCATTGGGGGTGCAGTTTTCGGATTCGAGTCGGAATCCAAATCGAATGGCATATCGTATATGGAAATCGCACGTTACGGCTCATTGCTCGCTGGACATTTATTTTCAGCCTAGGTGTAATTTTCAGATGCCTTCTTTGGCCCTCAGAAAAAAAATTGGATAAACAATGTGTATACACAGCGATTCCGAGGCGGCTGAGTATTTTAATTGTTTCTACGTGTTGTTCTACTAAGGCTTGTTCGCTGGCTGGCCAAAAAATGATTGCATTATCATCTGGCAGCAACGTGATCACATTTTTTCGGCTCGGGTTTGATCAAACTGGGCGCCTTCATTTGGGGTCGCTGCGATTACAGTTACGCTGACTGCAAGAGTTCATTGGAGTCGCGTTTAAGGGGGTTCCCCTTCTTGTTCTCCGAATATCTTTATGATATCATGTAAATTCAGTTGGGCTTAAGCATAGATAACTGTAGTTTCACTTTTTCGGCTCGGCCCATTCCTAGAATGGAATGGGAACGGGATTGGATGGGTGGATGAGTAGTGCTCGGCTTGGACGTGACTGACGAATTGGTCATTCGAGACCTTCTTGATTCGTGTGGTTCAAATGAGTTGGGAAAAGTATGGGCAGGGGGAAATGGGAAAGTTAATGGTTGTCAAATTACGAGTTTTATTAAATTTAATTAATTGGTAAGTTATGCTTTTAGGAAATGAAAACAAAAGAAGGCTGATTAACGCAGATTATCATAAACATATAGTTGTTCTTCTATAAAGTAAGTCACCAACAAACATTTTGATGGGAATTATTGTGAAGTTAAATCTACAATGTTTTCATTTTATTTTGTCAAATAAAAATACTTTTACTTTAAAAAACATCAAGTTGCTGATATTTAAGTTAAGTAAAACTGGTTATCAATTTGTTTATTGTATTTAAAAACCAGCGAACTTTATAAAACAAATAAATAAATATAAATTCGGCTATTTAAACAACTATTGAAAATCAAACGATTATGTTTATTTTGCACTTCGAACCAATCAAGTTTTTAGGTAAGATTTCCTCCAAAAAACGAGTCCCAGATTTAAGCCTCGGGGATCTCTTGACAAATGCTCATAACCCTGATTCATTACGCAAAGACTCTCTCCCGAGTAAATCATACGTTGGCTCGATAAACGATAAAGATTTTTCAGACTCAGCCCGCGCTGCAAGTGCAACTGGCAAATGGCATTCGCAGGTGGTCGCTAATCAACGTAATCAACTTGCAACAAGCTCGTTAGGCTTGCGAGGCAGACGCAGCATTCGACTTCCACTTCATGGTAATCAGGCCACCAAGTTCTAACCAAGTTTTCCGAGGGGGCTCAAAGGAAGGGGAAACCATAACCAAATTGGTCGCTGTGCTTCCTCTCAACCTGTGCAGAGAAAATAATACCTTATTATGTGTGATTGGATTGATTATTAGAAGAAAAATTCATTTGAAATATTGTGAGATTTGCTATCCTCGTGATTACTATATTTTTTATTGCTCGAAATTTAAATTTATTTTAAGGTGATCTACAACTCATTTTTTCTGCCTACTTTTGAAAAGTTTCCATAACTCTAACAAAATTTTAATCTATTAGTGTAGATGGATTTAAGTAAACGTTGTATTTCAAATAAACTTCCAATAAGCTTTGAATCTCATTAAAATTACAACTTGCCCATGGAAATAGGATACACAAAAATGTTTAAATATTTTCGATCGTTCCATGATGCAAAATAGTTTTTTTTTCTTAAAAAGGCTAATTTAAATTTTCAATTTCTCTTAAAATTAAAGTATTTTCCTCTCTGTAGGACAGGTTTTCCAGGTCTGTCAGCTCATTGTCTAGCCAGCTAGCTTGACTTTACCGTTGCGGCGACTCGGGCGTTTAGCTGGGTCAAGGTCACCGCTGAAAATGGGAGTTCCTGGCCTATTCGCTGGCAGAATCCATCTGAAGGATCGCAGCGATTGCGATTCCCCAGCCAGGCGGCAATCATCTTGCGATGCGAGGCACGCACAAATCAAATGGTCGCCATTCAACGCCATCATCATTGGGTTTTTTCCTTATTTTATTCGAATCCATCCGAGGAGATCCTCAGATGCCACGATGCTGCAAATGCTGCGAAGATCGATCAGCGCCCAAGTGGCGGCAGTTGCTGCATTTGGAGCTGGCATTGCAAACTGCGTTCCTCGTTGATTTTTCGATTCGTTTTCGATTTGCTTCGATATTATTCATGCCCAGTGCAGTGGCGGCAGCAAAGGGGGGTTTAATATTACCTATTAAGCCATGGTTACCATGCAAATAAAGATAAAAGTTTATCCTTATGATAAATACCATGAATAATTTTTGTGTATTTTATATTTTACATTAGAAAGACTTAAATTCAGTATGATTTCATCCCTTTAATCCCCCTTTTTCTCTCCGCGTCTGTTGCTGCAAAAAACAGCGACGACCGTTGAACACAAAGCTGAGATTTTTCACAAGAAAATATTCATGTGAAGGCGAAAACTGCGCAGGCGCATGTTTTGTCAACTGGCAATCGGCTGACAAAAAGACTGTCGGACATTCGGAGGCTAAGGCTGAAAACTCTGACGTTTGCGTGACAGCGGCAACGAAAACAGCAACAACAACTACAGATGCTGCAACTGCTACGATAAACCGCATCCAGACGCTGCTCTGACCAGTTACCAATTTTGGCAGCGAGACTTTCATTTATTCGCGATTCGATTTGGGCGGTTTAGGTTCGTCCGTTTTTAAAGGGTACTTCTCCCTAACTCCCGCAAAGCAAATGGGAACGTGTGCCTACCGTTATTTTAATAAAAGATACATATGTTTATTTAAAAGTATCCTTAATACAAAAGTAGTTTTGTGGACACTAAAAAAAAATAACAACACTTTTCTTTTTAAAAAAATAAGATGGAACCCAGAAAGGTACACTTATAGTTCAAGCCAAAAGGTAAAAAGTTTTCTGGGAAATTTGGATTTAACATTACTGCATTAAAGCTCAAGCAAATATTTTTGAGTAAGCCAAGTGAGTGTAGTACCTTCGAACAGGTTTATTCTACGATCATGGACCAAAATAATATTTTTAATGGACAACATTGCCCCTTTTAGGTATGCATCCCAATTATATATATGTACATCGACTTTTGCTTACATAAACATTCTACTTTACTTTCTAAAAGTACTTACAGCGACCTCTAGCGCCAATTTACAGAGGTAGGTATTTGTTTTTACATGACATAATGCATACATTTAAAATTTTGTATTTGCATCCTCCAAGCCAGCGTTGCGTTAAAACATAGTTGAAGATGTTTTTTTAAACGATGAGTAGAGATTGTTTTACATTGCATTTAAAATTAAAAACTACTTATAATTAAACACTTTAATAGTGACAGCACTGATATTTGCTCGCAGTTTGAATAGTATCTGAAAAGCGAAAATCGATATATTAAAAGTTTAATCAAATTCACTTAACCCGTTTACCCGTTTGGGGAACGTTACTCCTAGTAAAGTTTCTGTTAACAAGGTTGGAAAAAGCGCCTCTAGCGGGCATTCAAAGATAAAAACCGATGGTGGGGTGACTGACTAAGGCCAGCTTAAGCCCCATGCACTGCGTGAGAGTTAAACAACACACTCTATTCCGGTTTCTTTCGCACTCACGAGAAAACTGCCTTTCAGTCGCACTCATTGGAGAGCGCGATAATGGACTGGCGATCCGTCGAGACAACCTTATACTCATTCTACCATGAGCGAACCTCAGTTGAGTTTCGAACTTCAACAGGTGTTGAATACGCGCTAGAGTAGAAAGCGATCTTACGGATCGACCGAATCGGTAAAGCATAACAAGCCATCGAAATTAACCGACGAGCACGTGATCAGCGTCTCAAGTTTAAACCAAAAACCAGTGCCGGACCCAATAAACTTTACATGATCGGTGTGCCGCCAAACTTCAAACAGAAAGTCAACTAAAGTTTGTGTGTTTCTTTTAGAGATCAAAAACCAATCCTTGGATATTACCCCGCTTCAATTTGAAACAAGTTGTCTGCAAGCAGACCGCTTATAAGGTGAGTTACCCATGGTTCCTCATAAAATGCATCTGCATTTTGGGTTTCTGAAGTTTCGGGACCTGTGGATTCGAAAGGGGGTGGGGGGCTTTCCACTGGAAGAAAAGTGCAGTGCAGGCGAGGGTTGGGATTTCGTCATGCGAGCGAGTGAGTGGGAGAGGGATAACCATATCGGGCCACCGAGCAGCTGTCTCGCTCTCTGAGCGTATCTTTCCGTAGCTGCAAGCGTGTGTGTGTGAGTGTATCTGCTACCTGTGAATGTGTATCTTTACCTGCCGTATCTCAAAAAACATACCGAAACACTCACACACTGGCGTCTCGGTTGCAGCTGCTTTTGTGTGTGTGAGAGTGGTAGCTTGCGAGTGTATTGGTGCTGTGGTGACATATAAATTTTAAACCTGAGTCGCAATTGTCTTGTTAAATTCTGCAAGCAAGGCGATCATAAATGTGGTTCAAGTACTTTTAAGCTTATCAGTCGAACCGAATTAAATTCCCATCCCAATTTCGGCATAAAAAAATAACAGTAAGCTTTAAAGCCAAATGCACCTGGAAAGCCAGGCAGTCAGGGGAAAAAACAGTTAAGAGACAACGCGTTTGCTTTTCACAACAGCAACAAAAGCCCACCAGGTAGATAAGATTACACCTGTGTGTGTATGTGTGATCCTCCGAGAGTGTATGTGTGTGCGTATGTGTGAGTACCTAAGGGGAAAAACGAGAGGGAAAGGGGTGAACAAACCGGTAATGCATTTGCTCAAAAAAGAAGTCACCTTCATAACAAACTCAACGCTCTGCTGCTGCAAAAAAACCACACACACACTCAATATGCTCGACTGTCACAGAACGAGAGATAAATCTATATAGTTTAGGTCCGACCATGATCGTAGTTTGCATACTATATGTGGTGCCCATCTTCCACGGAGTATTGGAAAAGTCTGATTTTTTCTTACAGCTCCAAAGGTCGGCGAAGGTGTGTTTTGTGGGCATTCCAAAAGTTCGTGTTTATACGGCTTTGAGAGCTTCCTGTAGTATCGGCCAATTAATCAACGACCGAACTCCGATAACGGCCACGAAAAGTTCTCCAAAAAATAATTTGTTTACTTCTATGCATAATTCAGAACCAGTTCCAATCGATTTTCAATTTTAATGTGCGCCTTTTTATAACCATCTTCGCTGTTTGTCGCCAGCACGAAGATTGAATTTAAATGAATTGTACACAAGCGATTTACCAAGATCTCTGGCCCACAAGCCACATTCATTTCGGTTTTTATTTTTATTTATTTTTTGAGGTGTGACTCGTTGCTTTCCATTCCAGACGTAATCGACTTAAGTTTAGAGGAGTGCACTGCGAATTCCTGGAAAACGATTTCGAATGCAAATTTTTTGCCTCACTTTAAGTCGAATTATTCTTGGGCTTGGGGCATTCGATCTGCCCAAAGGATCGATCGTATATAGTGTGTCAAGCTGTCGCCAGTCTGCTGATGAATTCAAGAGAGGGAAGAGGGAGGGGGTAGCATTATCTAATCGCAACATAAGCCGGTCCCCGCATATAGGAACCTTTTCCGTACACCTATTTACACAGATAAAGAGCCAAAAGCAAACACCGCGCCAGTTGAGACTTTGACTCGCTCCGCGAAGAGTTAATGAGGTCACAGCACTCTCTGCTCTAGCTGGTTTTTCATGGCTAGCAATTGGCCGGAGGTATTAGCTCCACTCCACTCGGAGTATGACTGCGAGTTATATGTTTTTTTTTGGGCCGTAGAGCTACGCCGTGGAGGGCGAATTATGAATACTTAAACACATCTTTTATGGACAACCGGAGCCGGGCTTAAGTGCCCAGCTAAACAAGCTGGGTGTGTGTGGGTAAACTGGGCTTTAGAGCCGTGTCTTACACAGAACTTAAGTGTCGGCACATGCGGCGTATGCGCAATGTGGCCGCTTTGCTCTCGCTCACTTAGAAGTTTTTATTTGGCACATGATTGCCATACGAAAACAGCGAAAAGCAAACTATATTCGAGTGATTTAACGATCCATCCCGGCTGTATTGTCTTAGCAACCTGGCCAACAATGATGTCATATGAATGGGTTTCGGATTCGGGGGTTCGAATGGAGGGAAAGTCAAATGCAATTCTCTCGAACGGCTTTTAGATTCACTGCTCAGTTGAGCGTGACGCGTTCGCTCCGCATATTTCGCACCCACATTGCGTTGACAATTTGTTTTACCTTAACCCTGAATCTAATCGATCAAGCCTGACAATCGCAGAGACAGAGAGCAGTAACATTAGCATTAATCAATTTCTGGCCATAAAGCATTAGTCATCGATGGCACCACGAAAGCAGCTGACAAACGAGGAAATGTTTTTGGCCCTATTCTCGGCTGCAACTTTCTCCGCTTCTGCAATTGTGTTTTCCGTATCCAAACAGTTGGATGTTGGTGGCTAAACCTTGGTCTGCTCTGGTCTGTCCATAACTCAAGATCTCCCGGGCTAAGCCGATTTCACAGCCGCGAAGTTTGGATTCAGGGTCTTGGTTTCGGGCTTGAATCCCATTACCCATTGCCTGGGCTAATGAAATGCAGAGAGACTTGGCTCAAAGTGACTCAGCGTAGGAGCTTACGTGCTATGCAAGCCGTTTTTCGGCTTCGGAATGCGACCTGCTACGCGGAACGTGGCCAACTACGTTGCAAAAGGCCCAATTGCAGTCATTCTTTCCCTTCATTTTTACGATAAATTGGTGAAATAAAAAGCTCTTTTTACGCAAATATTTTTTTGTTTCCCTTTTTTCCAAAAAAAAATTTACGGCTTTTATCTATTACTTATTAAAGATAACACATTTCTTTTTGCAAAAATGAATGAAATGCTTCGCTTGCTAAAACCCATGATAAATGTTTGGTACACTCATATCCCAACAAAGTTACAAATTTTCGATTGATAATGAGAACTATACTTTTTCCAAATTTACTAAACCTCAAAAGTAATTGACTCATGGGGACATTTTAAAATGACAAGTTCAACTTTGGTTTATTCATCACAATGTCGAATGATTATTTTGGTTGTTTCATTTATTTATTTCCCTTGAATGTAGACCTACCCTTAAGAACACTGATTGTATGTACAAAAATTCTTATGTGTCTTTGAAAAAAGTCAAGCTCTGGGCTGCCAAAACGAACAAAACAAAATTGATCGTTAATACCTATGAGTTAATTGTTATAAAAGCGATTGCGGTCGCCTGACAACTGGGATCAGTGCCTTTCAAGACCCGATGCTGAGAACTAGGTGCTTAGCACTCGACACTTAATAAATATATAGATGGCTCAACGCGTTGACAATTCCAGGCATTCGAGTCTAGAAACACTCGCTCGACCGATAACCAATACGTGATGGCAAAGCGCCTTTGTTATTGAAAACAAAGCCTCGTTCGAGTGCAAAGTTTAGTGCAAAAAGGTTGCAAATAATGTTTTTTTCTCTGTTCGAAAATCACACTTGGGTGGGTAAACAAATCAGGTTTCCCGCCGTCTGAACACAATGAAAAGCGCTTTTCAGCGGGGGGCCAGAAAAGTCGTGCCACAGCCTGACTTCTAGTTGCCGAGTTGCCGAGTTTTTCCAGCACTCTAAAAGTCGGAAGCCGGGATCGAAAGGCGAAAAGCTAAAACCGATACAGATATCGCTAATGAACCGCCCCCGCGCGGTGAAAGCCGGTTTCTCATTTGCAGCGCCTCCTTAAGTTCTTAATTTATGTACCGCTTCCTGCTTCAGTATCAGTATCAGGGTTATATATACAATGCATCCGATACGGCGATACATCTCGGTCCGAAACAAAGGGCACTTGCAGGCGAGGAAGCAGGCGTAAATATCCGATCATAATGGCTGAAATCAATTTATGGCACTCTTAATAACTAAATTCCGATGCAGGGACTTTCAACTTACAGCAATTGCATTTTATCAGTCGAAATACCAAAAGGACAGCTGAAACGTTAAGTCCGATCGATCACGAGTAATTATTTAACGATAAGGCCTCGAAAAATGTTGTTTCGTTTATAAGAAGTTGAAGCTGCTCCAAATTGTTTGCTAATTGCTAGGAAATTTCAAGAATTGAAAAAGTCTTCAGAAGACTTTTTCCTTATAAACCTTAATGACCTTCTTAGATTAGCTGTTCTATTTCCTATAAATTATAAGTACTTTTAATTGATTATAGAGTGTCATTGCGATTAAAGTGTTTACATTAGTTATTTAATGTATTATTTTTTTTTTTTGATGCTAGCAAAACACATTCCCTGCTGAGTTCAAGCAACTCGAACGTGACACAATCGACTATTATATAGAAATACGCTTTGGAAATGGTTTGGTAGGTTTGAGCGAATTGAAATGGCTTTTAGCAAGAATTTTCGTAACTCGTAAAGTCATCTGCCTGACTTTTGGCTGCCACCGGGCAGACTTGGCTCACACAGCTGCTCCGAGTGGCGATTTCCAGTCGAAAAACCAGTCTGGCCTGGCCATCTTTCCATGCCAACAGTTTCCCCTTTATTGCGTGCTGGTGTGTGTGGTCAAATGTCGGCATTTTTTATACTTTTGTGTGTTATTTTTTATGTGCACGCCTTGGGCAATTTCGTCCATTGTACTGGCTGGCTGCAAAAAAATTAACGTTGCAGAAATGATGTTTGTGAAGCGAACAAAACACCACAGTGGCATATGGGATATATATTCGATCTCTGAACAATTGGCCACCGGTGTGTGCTTTTTTCTCCAGCCAAAATCATGATCGTAAATCGCCATTAGCAGCAACTCGTGATGCTAATGAATCGGTCCACAAATTTTGACGCAGTCGTGATCCGCAAATTTGATGCCGGATGGAATTGGTTTGAGCCACCCTAATGAAGACATCAGAGATCATTTCCGATTCATTTCCGTTCTACCCTCGAATCGATATCCTTAAAAGGAGCAGATGAGCAGAGAGATCCCGAAAAAAACGCAATATTCTACCTACACGTCCGATCCACTCTCGTTTCACTTCCTGTTAAGGCCTGCTATTTTTATTTTTACCCAGACAGCTCAGTGATCATTATCCGCCCACGCACACAATCGCAATCGAAGCATGAATGTATTATCTCGGGTATTTCTGGGTATTTGCCAGAGACATTTCTGGGTTTTCGGAGTTTCGAGATCTTAAGTCGGAGTCAAGGCGAAACTACCTGAGGTTCGATAACTTGGGTCGAGGTTCGTTAGCTTGACCTTGCTGATCCCGTTGCTTTCGCTCTGCTGGAATGCAATCCCCGCATTTTTTAGGGAATATAACTTATAATATCAACTGGGCAGAAGGGTCGCACCCAGTTTCCAATTTCCAATCGACGCACCCATGCACAATTCGATGGCCAAACCCCATCTGCTCTCCGAAATCCACATGACATTTCTGGGTAACTTGATACCGAAACGAGGGATGCGGCGTCTCCCCTGGGAAAAGTCCATCATTCTAATCTGTTGACAAAACCGACCACATGACCACCGTCGTCTGTAAACCAGTTGATAAACACCGAAGCCGAAAAACAAAAATAAACCAGCTACGAAGTCTGACTTAAATATAATAATAAATTCGAGCTTTACAGACGTTTACGTTTGAACAAATCTCTGTTAGTATCACGATTTCAAATTGGAGTTGTGTTATGCGATACTCTGTGGAAGTGTGCCTATAAATTCCCACCCAGCAGCGGACAAAATGCTCCAATATATTTCCGTATCGGGTTTCCAGCGACGAGGGCCATTAAATATAACAGGGCGAGATCAGGGTTTATCTCGATCGAATGTCAAAGTGTTCTAGAAAACGTTTCACGAAAGCATTTCCCCATTTGCTCCGAGCTAATTAAATGCACGACACTACAATGCACTTTAGCATTTTTTTTTTGTTATTGGGGGAGATAGACAGATCGATCGATCGATGGATGGGTTATATCCCGTAACTAAGTATAATCTTTACAGCTGTGGATATGATGAATTGACTGACTGACTCACGGGTTTCCGAGTGGAAAAACGTATTTGCATACATGTACAAGTATGGCCAGAGCCAGTGCCGCCAGTTACCGGTTTCTCTCCAAACTAAACTTGAACACACAGCCCAGTTCGCTTGGCCATCTGTGTGTGTACACACACTCGTATCGCTGCAATGACAGAAACGGAATTAATTATGGTCGGAGTGTCGGCGGCGCCTTGGCCCAAGCCAAAGCCAATTCAAAGCGAGCCAAAAAAAGAAAAAAATAGCAGGGGAAATAAGAGTAAAGAAAAAATAATACTGTCTGTCTGGCTCAACATCTTTCGTGACTCGATGAAATGTTAGCCGAAAGACCTAAACACGTTTAGTGCAGTTTTCCCTTCGGCTTTTCGCCGCAGCTTTGAGAGCAAGTCAACTTGACACCCACTCACAAAAAAAAAAGAAAAAACTCTGAGCTAAGCGGTTTTCTTCGGGTCTAATGAAATGCTCCAACATGCGATATGCATCTATTCCCCTATATACATATATATGTATATATAAATATACATATTGGTTGGATAAATGCGATCTATTCTGGCCGCGTTAACTGCGCATTTTGCTTTCGAGATCCCGGTTACAAAAAAAAAAAACATTAATACCCCCGAGCTCTTTGTTGACTCGAATTATGTATTTGCCTTTGCCATGAAAACGAAGGCAAACACAGGCGCGTTTTCAATTTGAGGGGCATCCGCAACGGATTCCGCATCGAATCGAGTGGAAAATGCATTCCGAAGTCGCAAGTTGCATAATATGACTTTCTGGAGGCGCTTTTTCAGTCTGGTTTCGGAGATTTCCTAGAACCAGCGAGCTGGCAAACGAGTTCTTAATTGGCGTCAAGAAACGCTCCGTGGGGAATCCCCCGCTCGAATCGATTCAGAAGTCAAGTGTGATTGCTTAATCGCTTTGTCAGGGTGTGCAAACCAGTCGGCTATAATAAAAAGGGCAAGCAGACCGCAGGCCAAGCAAATAAATAAGCCACAATACCCAATTCCCCTTCAGCTGACGACAGAAAAAACCCGAATTGAGACCGAGTGTCAGCGTTTCTGTATCTGTATCTGATCGATCGGATCGAGTGGGGCAACTTTCCGATCTGCATTGCTAATCGCTGATATGTACTTTTTTTATTTATTTGTTTTCTGATTTTTTGGGGAAAGGGAAGTACTTTGCGGATACGGTAGAAAGTGCCAAATGCTTTCGCTTCGATTCTGAGTAACGAATTGAAAATAAGCGGGGAATCATTTGCGTTTGTTTATCGGGCGGTCGTACGAAACAATTGCCATTAAACGATAAGCAAACATTTGGCAATTCGTGGATTTCGAAGGGGTGTACTAGCCAAATTAGCATGGCCAATGATGTCAACTCTCCGGGTGCCAAGGTGCTAATCGCCGGAGTAAACACGGCCCAACGGATTGGCGATTTTTTGGGGGAAATGGCTGGTGAGACAACGTGCGTATTCTGAGGCCAGCCACGAATGCTTACTTCCCCTGAATGTTGTTGATTCAATAACGTATATCTGCTTATCTGGCCGCAGCAATTAGCGATAAGATACGGCTGCGTTGGCCGTTGTGAGTCGTCTGTTTTTCCATCAGTTTCTTGGAAGTTGCCATAACTGTACAACTGTCTCACTTATTTTTCTCCGTGCCTGGTCCATTTCAGTTTGCCCATCCAGCGAAGAATGGGTCGCCAGTCGACTTGCAGGCTGGTCCTGCTGCTGGCCATCAGTCTGGCCATAGTCCACGCCAATCCCACAACCACGTCGAGTTCCAAAATCCACTACATCCACGATGACCTCACGGCCAACGAGCTGGACTCCGGCGAGGATGCGAGTCCCGCGGAGAGTCTGCCCAAGATCTCCACTCCGAAGGTGAAGGATCTGCCCGTGGAGACGACCACCAAGAAGGCGGAGCAGAAGGCCACCGAGAAGTCCCTCAGCGAGGATGTCTTGAAGGACCTCATGGAGGCGGCCAAGCACAGTCAGGCTCTCGCCGAGGATCCCCACTTCAACAAGATGATCAACGCCACGGTGGAGAAGAGCCCGGAGAAGAACTCCACCGATGGTGAGGACAACTACGACAACGATTACTACAACTACGACGAGGAGGACTACTCCTACTTCGACGAAAAGACGACCACCAAGAGTCCCAAGGGCGAGAAGAACAAGCCCAAGTTGCAGCCCATCGTGGACAGCACTAAGGTAAAAATAAATGATTATAAATAAAATGAATGCATTATATATAAATATCAAAAAACAGCTACAACTAACCAATACAATTTCATTTTTCATATGGCTTAAATTGAGTAATATCAAACCTTCAAAATTGTCTAAAGATCAGAACAATTTTAAAAACAAAATAATGTTTTTCGGTTCTGAAATATTATTTGTAGCATAATAAAATAGAATACAATTTGTAATACCTTTTCTCTGAACTCTATTCTATGAGCTCTTTAAATTAATATATTAAAAAAATACATTTCATAACTTTTTGAATTTAAATCAATTTCAGGACAAGAACTCTGCTCAAAAGTCAAAGGAAAGCACCAATGACATCGACAGCGATTCTCAGTATGACTACAACGAGGATGATGACGACGACGATGATGAAGATGACGATGCCTCCGACGAACAGCTGACCGATGATGAGCACGTGGTCTTCAGCGAGGATGTGCCCTGCCCGAGGTTCTGTACCTGTGCGAGAAACATCAACGCCTATATGGTGGCCACTTGCAGCAGGTTAGTCTTCATAGGAAACTCTCTAATCCATTTGAACTTGAGTTAATAAATCCAATCCCCTGACAGACTCGATGTTGGCATCCAGAAGTTTGGCTCTGACATCACTGATTTGGTGGTGACCAACGTGGGACCCAAGTACCCCATCCTGGTGGGTCCCAACTTCTTCCTGAACCTGGGCCTCAAGAACGTGGCCTCGATCAAGATCGCCAACTGCACCTTGGAGTACCTGCATGCCGAGGCCTTCAATGGACTGGACAACCTGTATGCCCTCAACCTGACGGACGTGGGTTTGGCCCTCATCAATCCGGACACCTTTGCCAACAACAAGATGCTGCGCATGCTGACCATTTCGGGCAATGACCTGAGTGTGATGTCCAGCGTTCGCTATCTGCTGAAGGTGAGTTTTAATGGCTAACCTGTTGATTAGGCTCTAATAAATCTATGTAATATTCAGTCAAATAGTATTGAGGAGCTGGATCTGTCGCGCAACAACCTCATGGAGCTGAACCCCAAGGCCTTCTCCAAGCTCACCAACGTGGTCTACATCAACCTGAGCCAGAATAGCCTGAAGAAACTTCCCGAGACGGCGTTCGAGACTGTTACCCTTCTGGAGGAACTGGATCTGTCCTACAATTCGCTGACTGAACTTCCCCGCGATATCTTCAACACCACCACTTTGTCCATTCTGCACCTGAAGTACAACACCTTCAATGGCGATCTGCACTTCGGCACCAAGGATCTGCAGCAGTTGGACTTGAGTTTCAACTCGATCGAGTCCGTGCACCACAGCATGTTCGACAAGATGCCTGGATTGACCAACCTGAACCTCAAGGGAAATGGCATCAAGAGGATCCAGCCGGACTCCTTCCTCACGCTGAAGCTCCTTCGCCACATCGATCTGTCGATCAACGAACTGGATCAGATCTCCGGAATGCTGTTCTTCAAGAACTCAGAGCTCGATGTGATCCGGCTGAACGACAATCCCCGACTGAGCCAGCTGCCCACCGATGGATTCCTGAGCTACAGCGGTGAGTTCACCGTCTACTACTTGGACATTTCCAACTGCGCCATTGGTCCTCTGGGCCACAAGACCTTCTCCACGATGCCGCATCTGGCCACTTTGAAGTTGGCCTGGAACAATATCAACCATTTGCCTCGCGAGATCTTCAGTGGACTGCACAAGCTGATCGACTTGGATCTGAGCAACAATCTGATTTCCCGCATTGATGATCTGATCTTTATGGATAATGGTGACCTATCCAAACTCAGTTTGGCTGGCAATCCAATCAGTCATCTGTCTGTTCGTTTGTTCCTTCCTCTGCATCAACTGCGTTCTTTGGATGTCAGCAACTGCGAACTCACAGCTCTGCTTTCGGACACCAAGATGGGTCTTGGCTACAAGATCTTCGACAGCCTGCGCAATTTGAATGCCTCCGAGAACGTGATCAGGAAGATCTCCTCCGCGGATGTGAAGGGCTTCAAGAACCTGCGACTGCTGGACATCAGCAACAATCCACTCAAGTGCACCCGCGACTTCCAGGACTTCATTAGCTACGTGACCCTGCAGATGCAGCTGTCGCCCAAGAGAACACCGATGTTGGCCAATCTGGAGGAGGATGCTACCCTGGTGGAGTTGGAGAACCAGGCACAGGCTGGCTGGGCTTCCTTGGCTCATGAGGTTTGCAAACACGAGGAGGGAGCCGATCTGCTGGACGAGAAGAAGGCCGACAGTGCGGAGGCCAAGCTGGAGAAGCGTCTCAAGGAGAACGAAAAGAAGCTGGACGAGGACGAGGAGAAGCTCCTGAGTGTTTTGGACAAGAGTGTGTTGGACAAGAGCCGACTGAGCAGCATGCAGAAGATCATGAAGGGATCTGTGAATGCTGAGACTGTGAAGCACGAGGACGACAGTGCCGAGGAGAATCTGAACAATGGTGGCGAGGACAAGGAGGAGGACAGCAGTGACTACGACAGCGAGGAGGACGATGATGATGACGATGATGACAATGATGACGATGACGATGACAATGACGATGATCGCTTCGAGGAGGCCAAGAAGAACGCCAAGAAGAGCGAATCGGACAAGGCCTTCAACACGTTCGTCAACAAGGAGCTGAAGCCCGTGCTGAAGGACGATGGAGTCAAGGTTGAGGAGGTGGAGATGTCCAAGGAGCCGCGCGATAAGTTCCTGTTGGGTAAGTATTTCTATAGTTCCTTAAAGAAACTTCCTTACTAATACTGCGGTTTATCCTTCCAGATAAATTCGGTTTCGACAGCGACAGCGAGGAGTTGGATTCGGAGGAGTACACCGAAAAGGTGATCTACCACGGCCAGCTGTCCTACGACCTGGTCGTCCCCGTGATCATCGTGTCCTTCTGCCTGCTGATGATCGTCCTTTCGATCGCCCGCGTCATCTATGTGGTGCTGCGCAAGCGCGGCGAGCGCTACCGCATGGCTTTGATGAAGAACTCGAAGAACAACTTCGTCTACCAGAAGCTGAGCGAGGAGATCGTGAAGCCGACCAGCAAGGACCAGAAACAGCCCAAGCACCAGAAACAGCCGAAGGTGCATCGGTATGCGCCCATCAACCAGGTCTAAGTCCGCCTTGAATCAGCAGTTCCGGGCCGGACTTCGCGGAAGTCGAACGAGTTGCGCTGTTTTTCTAATTTATAAGTTTATTGATAGTTGAACAAGTGGAAAATCGCATCAGACAGTTGACTACACACACACAAGCACAAGAATGAAAAGACACAGGAGCAGGAAAATGATAATGAATACGATGGAGCATTAGCTGGCAGTTAAAAGTATTAGCGAAAGTGCGAGGAAACAAAGCAACAACTGAGAAATACTTGAATCCAAATAAGAAAGGGAGCGGGAAGATAAATCTTGAAATGCAAATCCTTTATCCCTGAAATAGCCTATTCCGCCTAATCCTGTTGCAGCCAGTCAAAAGGTTTTTGGCAACAGCAGAGGTGGCTTTCCAGAAAAAGCGTTTGATTAGCAGCCGTTTCGCGAGGAACGGACTTGCCCCTTATCGAACCACTGTCCCAAAACTCACCCAATCCAAACCCCATCCAATATATCCGTACTTATGAGAATTTCGGGAACAACTTGAAGATTTAGTGCCATTTTGCCAAAATTCAAACCGAGCGAAAATTACTTAACAAAAGAACATTAAAGTTTCTAAACTGAGTGTTAGTCAGAAGGAAGAGAAACGAGAAGCGAGGAGCAAGGAGCAAGGAGCTGAAAGTAGTAGGGTTTTAGATCCGGTTATGTGTAGCAAACGGTTAGTAGACTCCCTAGAATGACGTCTGATTTTGAGAGAGAAATAATTAATTCATAAACTATTTTAAGTCTTTTTTATTACCTTTTTTCCAATCGAAATGCAAGCGAACGCTTGGCTTATTCGACTTTGAAACCAATTCCGAAAACAATAAATTATTTTAACCAAACCGATCGTAATCTTTACAATGCATACTTAATAGACATACATACGTACTTTTAACAATAACATGCCGTTCAATAAAATTGAATATATTTTATCTGCGTTCAATAAAAAACTCAAGTGGGCCGACATCACTTCCTTCTTTGGATGGTTAACTATTGCTCAAAAATAAAGAGATTAATATAGTGTGTATGTTCGTTAAAAAGTGATAATTTTAATAGCTAAAGGTCGGTAAGTTTCTACATAAACAAGATGAAATCGAAAGTAAAAAGGATTTTTAATTTAATATTTTTTATTGGTATTTTCTCTTGAAGGTATACAAAACAATAAGGTCCACTCTAAGCTTGGTATATTTGTTTGTAAGACTGGAATTTTTAAAGCTTGCCTATGGTCAGTTTTTCAAAGATGATCCGTTAGTTCAAAACTTTTTCTGGAAGCGAACAAGTTGAGCGTGGGTAAGTTAAGCTCCCCATTTAATAAACCACCATGGAGTTCTCGAAAAGTTGAGATAGGTTTTCCTGAGTTTGTGCTCTGGGTGCCAACTTGGTGATCCTTTCCTGGGGCAGGGTTCCCTCCACCAAGGCGGGTACATCGCTGCTGGAGAATCCCAGCTCCCGGAGGCCATTTTCGATGCCAGCGCGTTGCATAAAACCGCGTACAGTGTCCGCCAAAAGACGACCGGCGTCTGATTTTTGAACACCTCGCACTTCAGCACCCAGTATTTGGGCAGCTTCTAAATGTCGTTCTGGACAAGCGGGAGCAGTGAATTCAAACACCGCCGGAGCACTGATCACCACAGATAAACCGTGGGGAATTAGAGCGTGATCTGCGGAATAACCCTTCGGTTTGTAGTTCCTCACATTTCCAGAAATCGGATAGGAAAGTCCGTGGCAAAGGTGAACTCCTGCATTTCCGAATCCAACTCCCGCCATCGTGGATGCCAAATGCATTTGGGATCGGGCCTCCAGATTATCGGGTTGGTAAATGGCGTCTATGAAATTCTTGCGAATTATTTCCAAAGCGAATCGGGCCCAAACATCCGACACGGGGTTCCTGCCCTGATATGTGGGTCTCAAACTGGGATCACTGGGAGCAGGTCCTCGTTCCCGGTAATCCACCGCCGTAAAGCTCTCCAGAGCATGGCAAAACACATCGAAGCCAGCGAAGGCCATCACTCTTTCCGGTTGGGATAAGGTGTGCAGGGGATCAATCACAGCTGGGGTAATAAAATATAATAGAATTAGCTAGGAAAAAATTAAAAACTATATTAATCACTTCCTTGAAATGAATATATTGAATTCAAATCTTGAATTATCTTGAATGAGAAAAAACATGATTATTACCCAAAGTTGGTTTGAGGAACTTGCTGGAAATCCCAGTCTTGGCATGTAACTTCTTATAGTCGAAAATAGCCACACCAGTGGTTTCAGAACCAGTTCCCGAAGTGGTGGGCATGGCAATCAAAGGCTTGAGTTTCACAGATATCTAGGATAAATCAGAATTAAAGGAATTAGTTCTCATACACCTAATTTCAGGGTTAACCCTCACCTCCTTGCCCTTTCCAATCGGACAGTTGACATAATCCAAGAACTCCGCATTCTTGTCACTGCTGAAAAGATTAGCTGCCTTCGCGGTATCGATGGATGATCCTCCTCCAATGGCCAAAAAGGCATCGAATTCCTTGCCGCGGGCAAACTCCGCTGCATGCCACAAGCTGCCGTCAGTGGGTTCCACCCGGGTTTCATCATACACTTCGTAGTTGATTCCATGACGAGCCAGTGAATCCAAGGCCACTTTGACCGAGGGCAACTGCACTACGTTCTTATCGGTGACCAAACAAACATTTCGTGCTCCCCAGTTGCGAAGATCAGCTCCAACTTCGGCACTTACTCCGGGTCCAAATCGCACCGTCGAGGCAGACATCTTATAAAAAAGCGTTAAATATGTATGTATTAATATGCCATTATATACCGATTCAAAAAAAAAAGTTATGCTCCAAGCAGATGATGAATTTTTGGAATATTGGATATTTAAAAGTATGTCATGCTGTTGTTATTAACAAAACATTGATTGGGTTTCGAAAAAAAATGTTTTTTCCTGGACACATTTGATGACCTGAGCTGTTGAATTCATTTTAACCATAATTTTTCATAAAGTTATGACCTTATAATTCTAAATCACGGAGTATCGATGATCATTCTTAACAAATGTAAGAACCAGTTTTATAATTCCAAAGTTAAAGTTAAACATTTTTTTTATATGCATAGCAAACAGACCCATTTTACCCATTTTATTTTCCACAAAATTTTGATTGAATTAAATTCATTAAATTAAAATTCATTAAGACCGATTTTAAAGTTTTTTAAAATTTAAAAGAACGAATACTTGGACTATTTACAAGTCATAAATGTTATGTGATTATCATTTGTTCCAAACTTTGACTGGAGATGAGCATCTGCTCTCTGCAGGTGCTCCAAAGTCCAAAACAATTAAATCCACTTACCTCGAAGGCGTACTCCATGCGACCAGTTTGGGAGGCGGTTGGGGCAGCTGATCCATAGTTATGCGAGTGGGCGGGGCACTTACAACTACAAACAATATTATTTAAATAACTAAAAAAATAAGCGGTTTTGTGCTTACGAGTTAGCGACGATCGTGTTGATCAAACTTAAGACATTCTTTCGCGACATTCTGCAAGTAAATGAAACCAGCTGATTGGACTCTTCGTCTGATAAGAACCCCAATCGATAGCTGGCGCCAAACGATAACCATTATTAATCGATAGCCAACCTTTTGAATCTCTTTTCTTTGCAGCTTTAAAAATAAAACCCTGAAAATGTGCGACTACCAGAGAGAATACTCCTTTATTTTTGATGACAGCTCCTGCGAGGGAGATGTATCAATGACCACTCATGTGGACAGTGGATTCGAGTCCTTGTGGCAACAGGTTGGCGAGGAACTGCGAAGGGAGCGGGAAATGAACGAACTCGGTCAGCTTTTCCAGCAAAACCTGACTTTGAGTCCTCCAACCTACGGCGATCAATGGAGGTTTTAATGGATTAACCCTCCAAAGTCAGCTCCTTGTGATATTTGTATTAAATAGATTATAGATTATAACAGATCAATAGCCACATAACTGGCTTTCGTTACAGCATTTTTGATAAATGCTCGTACTTTTTACCATATATAACTACCAAATCCAAAAAGAGATTATTGTATACTTTTGTTCATGATTAGTTTATGAAGTCAACTTGTCCGTGTTTTCAAATGTTTGCTGTCGTGAAAAATCGCTTTGTTTTGTCACGTCGCTTTACCAAATAATCAGATTGTACCAAACACACATTATTGTCCTAGATCTTAAAATGGCAATGGATTGCCTTCGATATTGAAAATCACATAATGTATACAAGAACAGAGAGGGAAGCTCGAATTTGTCAAATCCCTGCTCAAAACTAATAAATTAACAATGTACAAAGGTTTATCTTAGGAAAATCTATTAATTTTTAATGGAGAGTCCCATGCAAAGATGTGATTGCAATTCAATTGTAATGGGAACAATTGTTCGCTGGAGCTAATTACCTAAATGTATGTCCGCCCATTTTTAGCGCTAGATTTACAACTCAATTTGGCGCTATATCTGCTTGATCTGCGAACATAAACAACTGGCAAAGGTAAACGATGTTGACGGCTTTTCAACTCATTAGCATGCGGACTGTCGTCAAACCAACGGCCGCCAGACCATAAAAAGTTCGATTCCCAACCGATTGGCCAGCAGTTTGCATCTGAAATTCGGTAACTGAACGTCGCAAGATGAAGTGGCTTAGTTTGTTCCTGATTTTCGGTATTCTCGGGCTCATCGGCAGCCTGGGAACTCTCACGATGGCAGAACCCAATCCGGAACCCAAGGGTCGTCCCAATACAACTCGTCGTCCGAGAAACGATAACGACAACGATCGACGTTAGCAATCCGAGAGGATGGAGGAGATGGAGGATCCTTCCAGGGAGAAATCCCCTCGAAGATGCACCGAACCACAGAAGACACACGAGGCACATCACATCTCGGTGAAGGTCAAATGTTTTGGAGTTGAGAAAATGCAATATGTTGAGGTTCTGCTCATTTAGTGGATGGAATCTCCCTCAGATACAACACAATAAAAACGAATTCGGTTACAACAGAGTTTTGATCATTGGTTTATTCGATAGTTTCTTCGTCATAGGTCTAGAGTTAAATTGGTCAGCTTAATTATACCCTGACGCTTTCGGGGATTCTTCGATACTGATACTGATAGATTGGCGGATCAAGCGGGCTGACTGATTTTCTTTGGTTGTGCGAGGGTTTCATTTTCGGGAAGTGCGTTTGTAATTACCATATATTTGATTCGGTTTTGGTTTCTGTTTTACATTTTGTTGGCTTTACTGATACCATTTTATACCATGCGATACTGAACCTTGATTAGGGCTTACCGTAATTTACAAAGTGCCGCCGTCCGCGACTTATCAAATTTAATTCAATAGTTTCCGTTTCCGTTTCCATTTGCTTAGCTACGATAGTTTCGGTTACAAAATAATTTCAATTTATCTAAATTGCAATCGCATCTCCGGTGTCTGCATTAGCTTATAAATCTGTGAGTATAGTATATAATCGGTTTAGATCTATCTTTACAGTTACAATTACAATTAGAATTACATATTGATTAGACTATTCCAGTTGGTTTGTGTTTTTTTTTTAGGGGGGTGGAGTGTTTGATTCGTTTACCTTTTGCCGGCGGATAGAGCTTAGTCTATACAATATTTATATCGTTAATTACGTTTAGCATATATAGTTCGTAGTTCTATCTGATTTGATCAAATGATTACTCGCTTACTTGTATTTTCTGACGCATATGTATCTGTATCTGCTGAATGCTTGTATCTTGTAGGTGGGTCTGACACTGACTTGAATATAATTGAGTTTGCTCCTAGAATCTAAGCTCAAATGCAGCTGGGAAGGTCATTGGTTTTGGTTTTTGTTTTATTCTGGGGGTTCAGGAAGATGGGGTTTTCATGCGGGATTACAGCTGAGTATCTTTGGTAGTCGTAGTAGTTAACATCCTATCTAGCTAGCGTTTTACTTTCACTCTTATTCGGGGGACTCCGATGAGGCCGAAATGCCACCCAGACTGCAGGCTCCCACGCTTCCCGCACTCGTCGAGGCTCCGATATCGCTGATGCTCTTCACGCGCCGCCGGCTCTGTTCGTAGAGCATCTGGGGGTCGGCCAGACCCGCATCCAGCACACCACCGCCCACCGGTGGAGCACTCACCCGGTGACCAGGCGGCGGACCATGACTGTAAATGCCACCGGCCGATGGAATCGGCGGAGGAGCCGTCGTCGGCGGAGGGAGGAAGTGGTGGTAGTGCTGCTGCTGCTGGGGATTCGGATGCGGATTGGGGTACTGGTGACCTATGGTTGCGTATATTCCTCCGCCGCCCTCGCTGCTGCTGTACGAAGGCGTTGGGGAGGTGGAGTTCCCAAAGGAGCTGCGCTCGCCGGTGCGATGGGGTTTGCTATTAAACCGAAAGGCTTTAGAAAGGGAGCTCTGCAAACGAAAATAGTTAACAATTACTAAATGGTTTCTTATTGGGGAATAAAAAGGGGTAACCCACCTGAGATCCTTTCCATGCCGAAATCTGTTGAGTACAGGAAATGAAAAAGAACAATAGTTAAGTGGCTTTAGTTTGTGAAACTAAAATATCGTTGAGAGTTGCAACCCTTTTTTAGTTATTCGCGAAACTTATGTTGTTTCTGGGTGCCAATTTCAATGGTTACATTTTGAAATTGTTATTTTAAAATAAGTTAGTTAGTTCAAAGTTATAGTTTAAGTTCAATATATTACACCTAATATTAATTATATTATACATTTAAAGAAATATAATGTTTCTTTAAATGTCTAAGTGTTGTTTAGGATTTATTTTAAAATTAATATAATACTCGAAGTATCTGATGTTAGAGTGGCATTTTTACAGTTTTCAGCATTTTCCGTGTTTAAGTGTTCTCGAACATGTAAAGATTTTAACTTGTGCATATTTTCCCTTCAATTTAACCAATTAGAAAAAACTTTCATGAATGAAAATATCATACCGACAAGCACTTTTAAAAGTAAGAAATTTCTTCTGCAAATGTTAAAGGAAACCGCAATAAATTGAACTTTCAGTTTTAATGAAACTCGGTTGAAAGGTAAAAACCACAGAGCAGCCTTGGTGAATTAGAGATGAAAACACTGGTGAAACCACTTAGGGTGTTAAATAAGTTATGAAATAGACACCGAGAAACAACAAAAGCTTCACGTCAATTCAGGCTTAGAATACAGTGGAATTATATATTATATTTAAGACTTATTTGGATATAGCTAGTTATAGGATATGATTAGTAGAGAGTACTTACCCTGAGGTTGCCGCTCGAGCGGCGATCTGTTGTGGCATAGTGCTGCAGTCCGCCGGGTCCCGTTAGTGGCACTACGCCGCAACCGGAACGGATGCCCTGACCCAGAGTCGCTCTACACAACAAACATGGCAGTTTCGATTTGCGAATTTTTGCATAGGTATCGTATGCGTGTGTGTGTGTGCGTGTGTATGGGTGAGAGTGGGTGGTTATGGGGGCGGGTATATATCATGTTTGTGCATGTATTTTCGATTTCGATTTTCGTAGGCAGCAGGCAGGCAGGCAGGACATTCAAGACACGGGACACAGACGGAGAATTGGAGACGGGAATTTTGGTATTTTGGCGTTTGGAGAGTTGGAGAGTGCGGGCGGTTCAGGCAGAGCAGCAGAGATAGCGGTATAACGACAGAGACAGAGACAGAGAGATAGAGAGAGAGAGAGCAGGCAAGGCAGGCACACATACACACACAAAGATTGGTTTCGTTAGGTGTTGAATTGTTGTTGAGTTGTTGTCGGTTGTATTGCATCGGTAATCGTGTTAGACAATCAAGCAGATTTAGCAACAACAACAAGCCGTCGATTCGATTACCAAATTACGAAATTGAAGAGGAAACATACGGATGTGAAAGCAAAAGAGAGTGGATCAATTATAGGAAAGATGGAAAAAGAAACGGGACAAAGACGAAAGAATTCTGATTAATCAATGTTGGAGAGTTACTTTTTTATTTGTTTCGTATTTTGCAATAGCATAATTAATTAACTACACGTAGCGTAAAACAACAATGAAAAAACAAAGATCTATGGTGAGTGGAAAACCCCCTTGAAAAAAGAGAAAAGGAAATTATATCAAAAAAAAAAAAAAGAATAGCATTGCTAACAGACACGAAAACCAGCAGCCATAAAATGTTTTCTTTTGAAGCCTTAGAATTTCCAATCACACTTAGTATCGATAGGGTATTTGTATGCGGTGGTACTTATTAAGATGACAACGGTTAGACTAGTTCAAGCTACTTAAAAACATTGATAACACATACATAGAACTTGTCTTTGAGTGTCTGCGTATGTGTGTGGGAGTGTTCGTGTGTGATAAATAGAGAGAGATAGGCTACTTAGTAAGCAAGTTTTACTTACAATTGACACTGTAGTTGCAAAATTGCAAAAACCAAATTAACGACTTCTTAAAGAAATAAACTTTGGGGGAGCACTGCCCTGCGGTCACTTAAAAAGTTTTTCCAAATCTCTGAGATTGTAAAACCAATATTTCTTGTGCTCAAAAGTATGCAACGAAATATTTTGCAGCCAAACGCACCAAGCAGAACAACAAAAAAACACAATAAATTGCATATTCTTAAGCACCACAACTATTGTTGAGACTTTGTGTGTGTCTCAACTTATGACCGCTGGGCAAACTCAGTCAAAACGCTTCACAGTATGCAACACCAAACATGGACTATATCATCTAACCACGAAAATGTAGACATGTATGTGTGTCATGGACTTGTGTGCGGGTGTGTGGTTATGTAATTGGTCTTTAAGGTTCAATTGTGCGTTGGTGGCTGTCAAGCCGAGCTCAGAAAACAGCTCCTGTATCACAGAGAACTTGGGTATATTCCGGCCTAGTGACGAAAGACGCTCGTGTGAAGGACTGGTGGTTGTGTGTACATTTGTTCTAGGCATTTGCAATGCTCTATCTTAGGCGTAACAATCTGAATTTCCATTGACGAAAGCCTTAACACTAGGTTTCAACTACATTAAATGCTCGATTCGTTAATCAACCTAAGTAAATGCAACGTTAAGCGCTCCTCGGGGAGTGTATCGTTATAATGCCGATATCGGATATGCAAAGCTTGGACACTTGTTTTAACTCTTTTTTTCTTTTTTTTTCTGATGTGTGCGTTCCTAGTTCGATGCCTAAAGCACTTAACGATATTGTGGTATGACTACATGTATTTACGTCTACTAATCGAATGTGTGATTATTACGCTGCGGATCTATCAACTATTCGTAATGACGAAATGACTAGCGCTGTGCTCCAGTTATTGTTCTCTCCCTATATATTTATTATCGTATCATCTTCATCAGCTTGGCTAAACAAATCAGTATGAATCCCGTTTGATTTCTTGTTTTCGTTTTCTTTTTTTCTTTGATTATTCGATTTGGTTCGTGCGGATTTAGTGGCCCTGCAATTTGGCCAATTGCCTGGAGGCTTCCATTTGAAATTCTTCCATTTGACAGTAAATAAGGTATCTGCATTTCGGATATATAGAAAAGACAAGCAAACATGGATCGAGATATTGGTTGGGAAAGAAAAGAGAGAGAAACATGGCCACGAGGGCCGCCATTAGTGCGATTCGCTTTTCGGGGCGTTTTTTTTTTTTTTTTTATTTGCTTAACAGATCGTCTAGGACACGTTAACATGATCAACAACGAAAACAAAGTACATTAGTTACTAAAGTTACAGGCTGGAGACCTTTACATACTTATGCACGAGTAGACAGATTTAGATACAGATATGACATCGCATGATATGACATCTAATGAGTCGAGTAGTTGGCTCTTCTGCAGCCACAGTTGTTTTTTTTTTTGGGATGCGAAAGAAGACAGATGGATGGTATATGGCACATAAGAAGCAGCTTATAAACGAATGATCAAAGCACTAAATGTATAATAGCCAGAGATGAGCACGATTAATGAATGATGGGTGTATGTTTTCTTGGTTTGATGATGGTGATAATACTGAAAATGAAATGAGGTCTGAAGAACTCCCACAGTAACGCAATACTTCCTGCTAGCAAACTCCAACCAACCAACAAAAAAAAACAAACACTCCTTAAACGAAATATGTCATAACGAAGGTGCAAAAAGGAACACAAACAGTTAACAGGAAAGTTATATAAACTCGAGGGGAGTGGGAATGGAAATACAAAACGGCAATAACTCAATCAAAACAAAGACAACTCTAATCAAAACGCTGTATTACGCTACATATTTATGTTTTCACATTTCGCATGTCAAACCCTAAGGATTACACAAAGGACTCTCACACACACACAGGACACACTCACATACCAGACACACACATACACGCAGCACACACAACACACACAGAGAGATATCTAGATGGCATTTGTGGGGTTGCTAAGCCCTTAAAACTTACCGTGCGGGCAAAATGAGGGCATCGAATTCCGTGTTGAGATGTCGCCGTATTATGTTCTTCGAGGGCGGAATGCCCAGGGCGGTGGCCATGGTGTCGCCAGAAAAGGATGGCTCCAAAACCACGAGGCCTCCATGCACGCCACTATCTGCAGGTGGGTGAGAAATAAAATGGAACAGAGTAGAGAAAACCGGGATGAGAGCGGGTTAATTGCCACAGTGAATGGGGCACAATCAAAGGGCAATCGATATGGCCAACGCACCCTTCAGGTTGTCCGCATATTCGCCCAGGTCGATGGATCGCACCCAGCGGATGAAGCGCTGGTTCGTCCACACAATGGGATCCGTGTCCACCGTCTCCGATTGCACCCGTCGCATCGCCAGCGTTTGTCGGTCGTACTTCACGATGCGCAACACGTGGATGCCTTTTTAAGGGGCAGAAAGGGCGGGGATTCGATTAGGTTAAAAGGTTCACCACAGGCGAGAGAACAAATAATTACTGGCTCTTGGGTTACGCTTACAAAGGAGGTATTATTTGCCAATGAACAATGTGATTAAAATCAGAGATGGCACTTATTTCGCAACTCATAAGTTACAACCTAAAATATTGTTTAGAAAATCCAAAAAGAGGAAAATACCTACATTTACATCTGAAAAAAATTATACGTCTTTTTACCAATAAAAACTACCATTAATTATTAACAACTTCTCCAAGAAACAAACTTAACTGAAATCGAAAACTATAAAAATTTAATATTTTATGGAAAATAGTTTCTTTATAAATTTTAAAAATGTTTCAACCTCACCATTACAAAATTTACCTTATTTAATTAATAACAAGTAATTCATAATTTCCTCTAAATATTAATTTTTACTCTTGAAACTATATTGCTATGGAATTCTGGCTAGCAAAAACCAAAGATTAAAGCTTGAAAACTTTAGTTTTGAAAGCCATGATGACCCATAATTAAGTTAAAAAAAACTTTAAGGTACCCTCCCAAAGTAGGAAAACTTCAAAGTAAATTATAAAATATCACCTTTCAAGAAACTTATGATAATGGGGTAACCCAAAAGTTTGACTAATACTTACCGTGAACAATGCTGGCCTGGTGGAACTTCCGCGTGACGCCGAGGAACTTCTCGAGCTCCTTCTTGGAGAGCGTGTCCAGCATGCGGGCATCGACGAGGGATTGGACGAAGGGCTCCGCGTACTGGGGCAGTCCAATGTCCGGCAGCCACTCGGTGGCCACCCAGGTGTGTCCCAGCTGCGTGATCAGCGGATAGCGGACCATCTCCGGTCGCCTCTGCTCCTCAATGGCCAGCCGCAGTTTCTTGCGGTGCATCGGATGGGTGAGGCCCAGTCCAGCCTCCAGCTCCACGTCGTTCAGCTCCAGCAGCACCTTGCCGCTCTTCACGTTCTCGGCGCACCTGGCACTGTACTGGGGCATTCCCAGAGCCACCTCCAGCCAGGCCAGCACCTGGGTGGCCCTCCACCGGTCGATGGGCAGCTGGGAGGCCTCCCGCAGCAGGCGCAGCTTCTCGGCGTAGCCCTCCTCTGTCAGAGGATTCCACGAGTAGTCGGCATCTACAGAGAGATAAATATAGCATCAGGGAATATAGGTTTATAGGTAATGTCAATAATATAAATATCAATAGGGAATCCTAAAAATAGAGTATCATTTAAAAACACATAAGGACTTTTAAATTATGCGTTATAAGTTTCTTAATTGTAACTAAATTCACTAATATTTAATTGCTTTTCAAACTAATTTATAGGTAATTATGTGGAGGTATTTTTCGTTTAATAAATAAATAATTTCCAGTTAAAAGCTTATGTAAATATGTAATTTTTTTCATAAAGCGAGAAAACACAACTTTTAATTACAAACATACACTTCATTTGCTTAAATGGGTTGTAGTGCTAATTTTATATTTTTAGCTATTTGTCCTAGAAAGTTACTTTCAATTAAATAGTTATGTATAGAATATATGCTACTTTTCTTTTAATTTTGGATTTTAATGTTTATGCAATAAGTGAATATTTACAAGTCTATACTCACATTCAGTCACTCCATCGGCGGACAAAGCCTTACTTTTATTCCGGGAGCGGGCAAACACCCGTGATATACTTCCCCAAGTGCCGCCACGCCCATTGCGAGCTCCAAGCGGACCACTTTTGCTGGCACTGGCGAATTTCCGACTGATTGCTCCACCACCTGGTCCTTCGGGGTCCACCGGAGAGCCCAACTGCTCCACAGATCTAAACAAAAAATTGTATTTAATTTCCTGTCAGTAAATGTTATTTTAAATGCAAACTCTTCCCTAACACTTCACTTGTTTTTTTTATGATTTTACATAAATATGCAAAACATCAAATTTATCAATGTGTAAAAATAATAAAATCCCTAAATACAAATGCATGTCTGCGATAAAATTAGATTAGATGCGTCATTTATTTTCGCCTGCCATTTAGCATTTAGTTATGTTTCAATATTTGTTTTCACAATGTAATAAATTACAACTGTCCGTTGATGGGGATTTATTTTATCACACTCTCTAAACCCTGCGAACAATGCATAAATGCATATATTAAATTACATGGAACATTTATATTTAGCTAATTCTGTTCGAGTTTGGGTTTTTTAACTACTCTTTGAAAAAAAAATTATATTAAATTTCTCTGGGTTTAGTGATTTTACAATTAATCTCATGAATGTTTTTTCGCTTTCCCCAAAATAATTAGGTAATAAAATATCAAAACCAATTAATATAAAATCCATACATTTTAGAGGTTGCGCTTAAAATTCTGAGGGCAATAATATTTACTAGAATTTAGCTTTTTTTGAAATATTTTTGACTTAGTTTACCTCGAGTAGGCAGCCGAATTCAGAGGTGACAATGTGGGACTGCGTTCCTTGGGAGTACCAACTGAAAAAATATTACTTTTTAGAGAATTCCCTTAGTTAACAATTATATAACCCACATTGGTACATATTCTGGCTGGATACCAGCGAGATACTATCCGGATCGACGGTGATGCAGGGTCCATTGTCGCAGGTGCCATCGCTGAAGTTCAGTTCCCCACCCGTACTCTCCCGATCGCTACTGTTTCTCAGTCCCGAATCATTGGAACAGGAGTTTCGATCTCCGGCAGTGGCACCCGATCCTCCACTCAAACTGCCGCTGAAGGCGGACAGCGAGTTGCCACGCCCACTGTCCTCGGTGGTTCCCCGAATTCCAGCCAATCCTCCGCCCATTCCTGAAGCGGCGGCCATTTGGCTGAGCATTCCCGAGGCAGCCGACGGAGGAGTCAGTGGGGCAAAGGAGTGGAGGCTCTCCTGGTCGGAAAGGCATCCCGTCAACTGGCGACGAGCCTCCTGCAGTTGCTCCTGTAATCTCTGGAGCTGCAAGTCCCTGGAGGATAATTGCTGGGCCAAAGCCAAGGAACGCTCCGCTTCATCGCGAGCTTGTTTGAGCAACTGGAAACGCTCGCGATCCCGATCTCCGGAGATCTTGGCATTCGTTGTCTCCGTCTCCCTCACTCGCTCCTGGTAGTTCCGGATGAAGTCGCGCAGCTCCTGCTCCTTTTCCTGCAGCGAGGCACACAGCTGCTTCACTTGACCCAAAAGATCTGATTTATCCGTTCGCAGTTTCTTTCGCTCCAATCGCATGGTTAAAAGCTGATTCTTCACCGATCGGAGTTCCGATTCCAGGCGTTCTATTCGCTCCTTGGCAGCTGATCCTTCGGAGGAAGCAACTGCCTCCATTTCGGGAGTGGTGTCCACTCCGCCAACTGCTCCATCGGTGGAGAGCTCCAGGAGGCGCCTCAGTCGAAGCAGTTCGGTGTTCAACCGATCGTTCTCCTCGCGCAGCTTCATCGCGGCTTCTGCAACAGAAAAGGGATTTTAATAGGCATATATAGATATATATCTATATATTCTTGGCCAAAAGCTCTTAGCTACAGCTACCAAGCTGCGGACAAGCGGTGGTCGAAGCAGGATTGCAAGCCAGGAGTTCAAGCTTCTATATCCTTTAAGCAATCCGAATATATTCGGTCTAAGTAATACATTTGTTATTTGTATACAAAATATATGTCCAACTATGTAGCGGATTATTTGGGCAATAACCTCTCAGTAATTTAAAGTTGCTTAAACAAAGCTAACATTTTAATATATTTTTTCTTAATGGTAAAGATTTTATTTTTTGATAAACTCAACACATTTTACTTTTTGAAATGGTATCATAAAGGAAGATACTAATTTTGTATTTTAATACAAAAACTAACTCCTTGATTTAAGTTGTTAAATTTTAATAATATCTTATTTTCTTCTTACATATTATATTTAACTTTTTACAAAAGCAATACCTTGGAAATGTACGCAATTTTAATAACTCTATAAATCAAAGCAGATCAAAAATATGTCTGATAAAAATTTAATTGCTATCCTATATATCATTTAAGTTATAATTAACATGAATCCGACATTAATCCGACATTTATTAAACTGTCAAAGTAATGAAAGGCTCACAAGCGACCCAGATTGAAGCGTTCAAACTGTTAAGTTTGAAGTTCCATGAAATCGGTATAGCATATAGAAACTACTGGCTTGCATGCCTGCCAATCGATATTCTACTCATAATTAGCATTTATTGTCAACCTCTAGCCACCCACTACCACTTCCGATTCCCAAGCATTTCAGTTTTTAATACACTTTTCCCCGCCAAGTTTCTTGAGCAAAAGAAGAAAAAGCAAGAACTGAGGGAAACGTAAACTAAGGAAATCCCTGTGGAAGACCAGCTGTTGCCAGAGAGTGCTGGCTGGCATTTAATATGCAAAATGAGAACTGAAAAACACATTGAAAAAGTTTGCAGGCAAACTAAAACCAGTGCAATTATAACTTAACCAGGCCAGAGCAATGAATCGGCAGGCACTAAGCGGATGAATGGGGATCAAGTGCAACTACTTTATGAATGTACCATACTATACTATATATACCAAACAGAACAGAACAGAACTGAATCAAAAAACAGAAAAGAAAGATTGGGTGGGATGCGGGTTAATTGTGCTGCTTCAATTAAAAATACAGAGCGGAAATTGAGATGAAAGCGAAAGGATGATTGGGGGTGTTGGGTGGAAAGATAGATTGATCGACTTACCTGAGAGGGGAGCGGAATGCAGATGGAACCTTGACTCGTCGTTGCGATTTCCATCGCAGGACTCGAGGAGGAGCAAGGCCGCCGAGGCGGCGGACGTTGGGGAGTGCGGAGGTCCCAGGGCCACCAATGATTTCGGATTCAGATTCTGATTCGAGTTCAGATTGTGATTCGTATTCAGACCCGCATTTACAGTCACATTCGAGGGCTCGTCCTGATCCGTCTCCGATAAGTTGGCATTTCGCTTGTCGACTGGATTTCGGTGTGATTTCAGATACAGATACACATATATAGATGGTTGTTTTTGGGGGTTTTTATGTGGGGGAGGGGGGGTGATTTGTGGGGATGTCCGAGGGGTTTTTTGGTAGGGGTAGGCAAACATGTTCGGGCTGACCCAATAAGTAGTAGTTCGAAAACAAAACAAATAAACAGCAATGGCAAACAACGACCACAACAGCAATAGCAAGAGTATAAGAACAATGCCAACAAATGATGATAATGGTAATGTGACGGTGTGTATGCGTGAATGGATTGTTGTTCCGGACTGACTGATGTGTGTTTACATATATTTTGGCTATCTGTATAATCCGATCAGGTGAAAGAAGGAAAGGGGGCAGGGAGGGGAGCATCGTGCAGGACTCGAAATTAGATTTCCTCTCATCGAATGCGGACAAATGCGATTGAAAAGTAAACAAACAACAATTATTGCAGTCGAACAAGGAAATGAATTATATTGATTTTCGGAACATTAATCTAAATGCAAACGAGTCAATAAGTAATGGCACAAAAAACAATGAATTCACGGCAATGCGTTTTACGGGTTGAACAATTTGATTATCTATTTATTTCCCAAAACATCAATTTCCAACTCCGGGTCACCGATTCATCCATGTGAATGACTGATGATGAGCCTAAATTGATTGCGCAAACACACACACTCGCACACACACACACACACACATGCACATTCTGGATACTCGTTTTTCACACACAAATTCCCCTTGTGGAAATGCTTTTGATATCGTTTTTTTTCAGCTTTTCTGCTTATTGAATGTCAACATGGATTTATTTTATGGCCAAGGATTTTAAATTAAAATTTAATTAGCACTTAATGCCTCGCATGAAATCATTATTTAAGGTAACTCAAAAAAAAGCATATTTGAATTGAGGTCAAAACGAAATGGATGGCCTGCTTTGTTGACCAAACGAAAGACAAACAAATTGAAGAGTTCACTTTGATTTAAGGCCTAATAGAAAAAAAGCAACTGAAGTGACTGGGCCACGCGAATCACTCTCTGTTTAATTTTCAACGTTTAAGTTTTGTGAACCCAACTCGACCGCAACCACTTTGGATCCACCGACCTTTTTTATTCACCTTCCCCGGAATGACCTCCTCTATCTGCTTCGTTGACTTTCCCAAACTGCAGCAGCACTCAAAGTGATGGAAGGATAAGAGGGAGGGGTAAGTGGTCGGGGGGTAGGTACATCCTGGATCGGGGGAGATAGTGCTTGTAGCTCGGACGAACGAAGGCCATTACCATCCATTTGTCAGATTTTTGAAGTGTACATCACTCTGCCATTCTGATATAATCCGATGCGTTTGGCCCCCCAAAAAGCTTCCACTAGCAGAAAAAAAGGCACTCATCGTGGCAAATACCTAAGTCACCACCACTACCTCATCCTTATACCCATCATCATCCTGCGTGTTTGTCCTGTTCAGTTTAAGCTGCTTGTTGCCTCGGGAAACTTGCAATCCCTGACCACCGGGCAACATTCAATTTATGCCATCCTTTGTGGAACGTCAAACACTTTAACAATTAAATTAAAAACAGCGGGAATGGTGCTCGATATTTTACGCAGCTAGGAGATGGAATTAACTCTCGGCACACAGGTTGAAAGGATTCAATCAGGGACGCTGATTTAATTCCTCGCTGGCCGGTGCCCATTTGCCATTCCCACAGTGGCCAGCATTTGCTCATTCATGCCGCAAAGATCCCCGCCTCCTTTCCCCTTCTCCTCCCCCTTTTCCCACATTCCCCCTTTCCCTCACCATTTCGCAGGACCTTTCTTTGCCCGCAGCAATCTGCTGATTGCTCCACTCCCCTTGCATTCAGTCAACGGCGTTTACACATTACAAATGCATTTGCATACACTGGGGGAAAAAGCACACAACGGAAAATCAATCAACTACTTGGGGGTTCCTAGCAAACAAACGACTACCTCAAATCGAAATACAACACTTCATATTTTTAAAAAGGAAAGTTAAACGAAAGTTTTCGGGAATATGTGTTTTAAATTTTACAAACCAAACAATTTGAATTTTAATTCAAGATAAATATTAATGATCAATTAAAACGCTTTAAATGAAAATCTGACACTTAAATAATGATACTGAGCGTATATGTATGTCGTAAATAAAAACCATTTGCGTGTTAATTAAGACTGAATATACCATACAATTAAAATATGAACACATAAATAAAAAATATAAATGTTGTTCAAATCAGCATCAAGCAGGGGCGGACGCAGAAAAAAATTTTGGGGGGTCCGGTCGAAAAATTTTTTCGTTTGGGGGGGGTCCGGTCAAAAAAATTTTTAGTTTATATGGTTGAAAGGCCGTGTGCTGTAAGGGAATTTGAAAAAGTCTGCGATTTTGGGGGGGTCCGGACCCCCAAACACCCCCCTGCGTCCGCCCCTGGCATCAAGCCAAAAAAAGAAATATTCTTGACTCAAATGTTTTTAATCTTTATTTTCATTTTAAGAGTTTAATTTAATTTTTGCTTCAGAAGTATTAAATCTTGTTTTATTTTATTTAGGGCTGAAATTCCTTCTTTCAAAATTTAAATGGGAATCGATAAAGATACTTAAAAAGTAAAAGTAAAAGTAAAAACAAATGGCACTTTCTATATGTTTGCTTTTAAATTTTGTGTGTTTTTCCCGTGTACACAACCCCTTCCCATTCCCATTCCCCTTCCCCCCAATTACCCCCCCTTTTCCCCCTTCCCACCTGGAAGAGCCTCCCCTGCAGACTTACCGGCATTGAGTGCACTGCCGCCGGAGGAGGGGGCGTTATTGTGGGCGGGGCCGGGCGCCTGTGCCAAGTGACCTGCGGCAATTAAATTCGAGTTATTCGCATGGATCATGGCGTTGCCGGAGTTGCAAGTGCTGTTGCAGTGGCTGCCACCGATGCCATTCGGCAATTGCTGCTGTTGCAGTTGCTGCTGCTGCTGCTGTTGTGGGGGAGTCACTCCTGCCACCTCGGCCACCTTGCCAGGATACGCAGGACTCCGGTGCTGCTGGTGGTGATGGGGTAACTGCTGCTGCTGCTGCTGGAGCGGCTGGCTATCAGTGGTCATGGGTGGCGTGAGCGTCTGGTTGCTGCCATTCGAGCTCGATGGCGATGAGCTGCTCTCGTTGCTGGGCGTCAAATCCCGCTTGGAGGCCAATACCAAGGGAGTTGGCTTCGCCGGCGCTCCTCCGCCCCCCGATCCTGTGGATCCTGCGGCTCCTGTTGTTCCCGGTGAGGATGTCGATGCCGTCACCGAGCTGTCCAGCGATAATAGCGGTCTAATGGGCTTGTTGTTGTTCACGGAAGCCGTTTTCTCCTTCAGCGCCGTCGTCACCGAAGTGTCCAGGGATTTTACGGTTTTCTGAAAAAGTTGAAATGCATTGAAATGGTTTATAAATCTCTTGATACGTTTGTTATTTATTCAGCAGCTAACAGAGAGTATAAATGCTAAGAAAAAGGAGAAATACTATGGGTTTTAGCCAAGCTTATTTGAAGAAAATCGTTTCAGAGAGAGAAAGATTAAGTGATAATACATAATTTTTAATATTGTATCTACAAGCAAAATGTGGGTTGCGAAATATTTTTAAAGAGATATCAACTGATTTATGACTTTGGTTGTTAAGAAATAAATTTTAAGTTCAATTTTAAAGTTTTATAGTTAAGATTTTAGATTCTTTCCATTTAATTAATGTGAATGTACTTTGGTAAAGAATGCTTACTGTTGTTTTAATAAACAATTTGGGTATACAAGTAGATTGTATTGTAGATTTTTTAATTTATTAAAGCAGTTACTTATTTCTCTTAAAAACACCACAACACAGAATTTGTATTCTTAATTTAAAGTGGGAAGAAAGTAATTGGATTACACAGAAAATGGTTGGTTCTTTTTTGTTTTTATCAAAAAATCTCTATGCTCAGCGTGATTAGAAAATAGGTAAACCTAATAAGCCTAGAAATAGCAAAAGTCGAATAGCAAGAGGAAGATAGCAAAGAGAGATGTGTGTGTGTGTGTGTGTGTTTGTGTGTGGAGCCCAAATGTTGTCAATTAGTCAATGAGGGATGCAGAGTGGGTAATTTTTTCGAGATTTCGATTCGGTTTTTTTTTCTGGTGGTGCGCCAAAAAAGAAGAAGAAAAGTGAAGGAAATTGAGGTGGGGCCGTGGGGCATGCAGTATGCAGTATGCCACATGCAATATGCAATATGCTTTATGCAGTAGGCAGTTTGTTCGCAGGCAATGAATGAGGCCCAATTAGGTTAAACATCGAGTGAATTTCGTGTTTTGATGGTGGTGCTGAAGAGGAAGGGGAAATTGAGGTGGTTCGAAAGAGCGTTCGGGTTGGCTAGCGGGGGGAGTGGCAAGAGCGGGGGGCGAGGGGGTGGTGCTTACGGCTTGTACTTACGGATTCGCCCAGCTTGTGCAGCGAGGCATTTATGCGGTCCGGATTGCGCGGCGGCGGCTCTGGAGGCTCGGAGGCTGCCATCGTGGGTCCGGCAGCTAGACCGTTGATTTGCATGCTAACCACCACCGGCGCAGGCCCCTCACCCACACACACACACACTGTTCGCTCTGTGCACACCACTCGGGCTCACACTCACGCACACACACTCGCACTCGTGCTCACCCACTGAAAACTGGGCGTGCGAGTGGGCGGGAAGGACGTTCGCGTTCGCGTTCGCGTTCTCGCTTCTTGGCGCCTCAACTGCCACCCCTCTGAACTAATCGGGGCTCAAACATTCTGACTTGGCACTACACAGAGAAAAAATACGTAACAATATAAGTTCAAGGCTAACGAACAGCTTACAAATAATTTGAAAAATTTAATGGTCAATGGCCTTCATAATTTTACCATTATAAAAATAAAACCCTGATGAAAAGTTGTTAATTATAATCAGTTTCGAGAAGAGTGTGGTTTAACTTTACGCACTTAGGATTTCTTTAATCTAAAGATATTTTAAGATTTAACAATTTCCTTAATATTCAAACATTTTGGAATTTGATGACGATATTTGCATGGTTCCTGCAAGAAGTTTTATTACTGTTTTATTCGTTGAAATGCATAAGATGAATCAACTTTGCCTTTAAACAAAAAAAAATCTACCGAACCAAACTCCTGACATAACTGTCTACAAAAATTATTCCGAAAAGTCTGTGAAATCCAAGACCTAACGACATAAAAGCCATTTCAACATCACAAAAATAGTTCTCTAAAGCCAAATCAGAGTATTAAAATCGAAAGTTTTTCATAGCTTTACAAAGTTGCACTGTTCACTCTGGTTTTTTGCTATTCCGACCATAAAAAATACCATATAGATTAGCAGACTTTGGTGATATTTTATCTCTGTGTTATGCCCTGAAAAAACCCGCGTATTGACCAAATACGTACGCAAAGCTGTCCTGAATGTCCTCTCGCTACCTCGCGTTTCAATCTCCCATTCAATTACGAGTTGTCCTGCAAGTAAACAGAAATGGGAAATTTTCAGTCAGCGCCTTTTGGATGTGCAATGAGTTCTTTTTTTTCCTGCAGCTCGACTAATTTGGGGTCCCGACCCTCCACAAAATGGCCATAAAAACTGAGAGCTTTGGGTTTTGAATCCCCGGCGGGCTTAGTTGTTTGCATGTAGGCCAACGCCAGCCATAAACCTCCATTTGGACTTGTTTTTCCGTTTCTGTTTCTGTTTCTTTTCCCTTTTTTATTTGTGGCCCTTGCATGTCAGAGCTCAGTTCGCATTTCGCAGCGCAGTTTTCAGTTTTCAGTTTGCAGTTTGCTGTTCAGAGTTCTCCTCTGCAGTTGTCACTGCAGCAGCTGCTCCTAAGGTAAAAGTTAAATTACAGCTCAGGCTGGCAACTCGGAGCGGATTCTCCGTGGGGCAGAGTGACAGCTGTTAACTGGGCTTGAAGCATGTGACACCGGGCCGAGAGCCGCCCCACGAGGCACTCGTAACTTTAACTGCTTGGAAACCAAAGGTGACATGACATGCACTTTTCAGTTTGACCAACCAATAACTCATTACAGGCGGGGATAGAGCTTCCAAATTGGAAATCATAACGGAAATTGAAAGCAAAGAGTGCACCGAGAAAACTAAGAGATTTCTTGCATACCAAAAATTAATAAAAATACCACAAGCTTGTAAGAAAATCAAATCTTAATCACTTTAATATAATTTTCAAAAAACTAAAATATTTTTATATATTTGTCAAGAAACAAATTTAAACTATAAGTGTAGAGACCTTTTTAGTTGAACTCTAAAATTTTCTTTTACATTTATTTATTTTTTTGTATACAGAACTGATACTATGAACATAAAAATATTTATTTTTATAGCACTCATATAGTTAGAAAAAATCTATGGTTTTATTCTTGTATAAGCCATCTATTCATATTGGCAGCTCTGTCGGCTAACACCGCAAAAAACCCGACCCCTTTCACGCAAATACTTTAAGTTTAATCCGCTTTAAGACCAACTACAACAAAGGATGACCGGCAAAATATGTTGCGGTCATGTTTTGGCTCAATGTTTTTCTAGCCATCGCCCCCCAAAAAGCCATGATCCGAATGGATGCTTGGGGTCGGTCAGAGCGATAGGATGGAGCACCTGGCACATGTGTTTGCTAATATGCCGGGTTTAGGCCAACAGAGGCACACCAACACACCCACACACCCACACTTTAAGCCGACTCGCAGGCACCTTGACGACGAAGCCACAAACATTTATATTAAAGCAACAGAGCCAGGTGGCAACCAAGTGGGGCGGTGGATGCCACGCCCCCTCTGCCAACCACACTAATGTGGTGCGGGCCACACTAGTAGCACAAACTTTAATCATAATAATAACAAGCAACTTTTGCGTTACATCCGTGCCACGAACACAGATGAAGTTCGGTGAAGTTGCGCTGCTGCCGGCGGACTGAATGGGTATTTATGTTGCACACAGACAGGACACGGATAGATGGGGTCCTTCCCACCCCCGCTGGCCCACAGGGGTCGGAGGGTTACTCTGAATATACTGCTAACATGCTTTTTAAATTGTCTGTTTTCATGGCTGTGTAGTTTTTCAGATGAGAAACTATTGCTGGCATTTCGCCTTTTCTGTTGCGGGATTATTTCGAAAGCAAGGTAATTAAAATGTTCATGTTTTTGCTATTGTTATTAATTTTTTTATGGTCTTGGTTTGAATTCAAGGCAAGTTTATATAGAAACATTATTATGCAAATTCCACTTGAACCTCGGTTTTGTGGGAAGAATAAAAATCGTTGAGTGATTTAAAGTGTACAGAAAACTAAGTACGCTTTTGGATCAGTGTACATCGGTTCCCAACTTTTGAACCCTATATTAACTTAATGTTAATACCTTTCTAAATTATGAGCAGTAATAGTGATCTACGTACTCCCCGTTCTTCGGCTTTTTATTTACACTACGAGGATCCGCTTCGGGATGTTCCTCCCATCGATCTGCACCGCAAACACTTTCCCATTTTGCCACGCCCCCAAGAGCAGCGCATGGAGGAGGCGGAGGAGCGACGCAGTTTGCTGGGTGGCCAAAAGGTGGAGCAACTTTCTGTTCGTTTGGCGCGAGTGGCGCTGATCACCGATCGCCACCATCGGGAAACAACTCAAAGTTGGTTGGACGCTAGGGATCGCATCTCTCGCGACATGGATGAACATGTTCGAAAAAGGACGGCTCTGATATCAAAACGTCTAAGAAACCTTAACGATCATAATCACAAGGTTCAGGTGCGCAAGGATGAGGTGAAGCAGGAGAAACTTCTCAGAAAACTAACTCATCTTTACGAGGCCAAGAACGCAAGCACCATTTCACGATTTTGGGGAAGACCACAAAAACAAACATAAATCTTCTGTACCAAATTGAAGTGGTAAATAAAAAAACAAGTCTCAACTTATTTTAACCAAGTCAATTACTTTGAATCCTTGACAAGTTAAACTTAACTAACATCATTTAAAGTTTTGCTGTTTAAGAGTTCCATGTGTAAAGCTATAATACTTTCAAAAAAAGATTTGAATCCTTAACTTGAGAAGTTTCTGTCACCAGAACGACCATAGTAAAGATATCATTTGCATGTAATTGTTTAAAGCACTCCTTTAATTTATATTTTTTAATAATAATTGCGCATATTTTCTTCAAGTGCTTTTAAGCATAAATGTTCCTGAAAGCCTTTTAATATCAACATTCTTGATTATCAGTTTTCAGTTAGATTTTTCTCCTTCGCTCAGACATTTTGCTTTGTGTAGGGAAGACACCGTTTTCCGCTTAGAAACTTTGCCTGTCCCATCGCTTGTCAAACTTCCACTTTCCGCTCGAGTCTGCCTTCGACATAGTTGCGGAAAATCGCTTGTCAACTTTCGAACGAGGCCGCTGCTGCGTTTTTCTACAGTTAACTTTTTGGGGCTTTAAGTTTGTCCAGGTTGTCCGGCAATTTGCATTTGCATTGCAACGATGGAGAGCGTAAAAGTTGGGGCCCGTAAAATTAGTTACAATTTGTGTCGTTGCTGCACAAATTAGCCGACGACCGAGAAGAAGCTCGTCAAGTGAGACGAGTGGGTGGCGATTTGAAAGCATTTCCTGGTTTCCCCAGCAGAATCCATCCAATCCTCAAAGCCAGATCCCGATTATATGCACTCGACTGCACCGAAGGCACAAGGAGCATAAGTGTGTGCATGTAAGTGTATGTGTGTTTGTGTTTGGATACACACACCGATACACCTACAAACACACACACACGTATACAGATCACGAGTCAAAGGAGCGTGTTGGTGATGGCCAACTAAGTGCTTTGCCTTTTGTCCAGGAGCATCTTGCTCCCAGTTGCCAGTTGGCTTGAAGTTCATCCCCAGCACTTGACCTCTTTTCGCCCAACTTATTTGATTTGTGGCCTGCTGGTGACGCTGCTTATGCAGTTGCCTTCGCATTCAATTAAACTCCAGGGGCTTTCAATGTCCCAGGATGATGGGATGGAATGGGATGGGATGGTAGTTTTGGGCGATTGCCCTGAGAAGTATGCTTCATAAATTGGTTTTTATGAGGGTCTCATGTGTGCAAAATATATTTGAAATTTATTGCACATGCCTCTGTGATACAATAAATGTATTTATCAATTTTTTATTCGAAACACACACAAAAGCTGAGCCCAAGCCTCTGAGTCTCTGTTTAAATTAAAACCAATCAAAAAACTTGAGATGGAAAATATTTAAATCAATTTGCCAGCCAACCGGGCAATAAGCTTCGGCATATTGATTGGAAATTGGCATTCAGAATGCATGCAAATTAATGCGGTATTTGTGCTGAGCAAAGTAATTCGAACAGACTTGATTACACTAACCGCACACACATCTCCCTTTCTTCCCTTGCTCCGAAAATGTGCCATAATGTCGATTCCTGCCCCCAGGATTTCGCAACTCGGTGACAATTGACATTGGCAATGACAGTGGCGATCGGCAGAAATTCAATGAAAATTAATAAGTTGAATTAACAGATTCACGCCGCGGGCATTCCCATTGAAATCCAATCCGCCGCACACGCCGACTGCGGAATTTAATGGCTCACTGTCCAGTTGACAGAATAAGCGACATGACTGGTCGTCCTGTCCATCCTGACATCGGTCATTAAGGTCCTGTCAGCCCGAATCGGTTGCCTTCTGCTTGCCAGCATTCAATTGCATTACCTGCAAGCGGGCAAATTATTTCCGAAAGGCTAACTTTATTGGCCAACTGTGTGACTCATAACCTCATGACTAACTGGGCAATCAAATGGGTTGGGTTTCTGACATCGAATATTGCGAGTCACTGCCTTAAAAGTTGTAAATCATAATATTAATGTCTATATGAAGTGAGAAATTGTTTTGTATTCAAACAAGCCAACATTGCATTGCAGTTATTAAAGACTTGTATTGGTTTAGCCTTACTCTGAAACCTTCTTTTGAAAATGAATTTTAGTATGAAATGAGTTTAACCCTTCTATACTTCTAATTCCTGGTTTTCCTGAAGTTTTAATAGAAGTGATAGAGAATCCTATGGAGCTATATTTATCATAATATTATATTATATTTCAATAGATACCTACATTTCTTTATGTTCTTGTAGATTTGTAATTTTCGTAACGAACATAAATTTATTTTGTATTTATTTATTTTCGAAAAACAACTGATAATTGCTAATAAATAATGTTCAAATCTCCTTTTTATTGATTGTCAACTTCATAAAATCCAAATTTTGTTCGAATTTTAAGGTCTGGTTATTTTGTTTTGAGTTTCCTAACCCAGGACAAGGATTTTCCCAGTGCGTTGACCGTTTTGCACTTGCTTTTAGCCCTTATTTCCTGTATGACTCGATGGGTCCGCCTCCTTTCTCCGCCGGAAAACTTCGATGGAGCGAGAGAATGTGGAGTGTGTGTGAGCGACGTAAATTACAATTTGTGGAGGGACTGCTGCTCCTCCAGAAAATAGGGGGGACCACATAAACCATCTCCGCTTCTGTTGTTTGCCAACCGCTTTTCCTGGAAAATGCAATCACCCCTCCCACCCTCATTTCCCCACCCCCTTCTCCTTCTGCCACAAACTGACAGCAATCAGCTTTGCTGTGGATAAAGTTTTATGCCGAGAAACTCATTTAGTTTGCAATTAATTAGTGGCAGCCGTCGGAGCAGAGTTGAATTTGTGTTTTTAATTTGACTAAATAGATGCAGCTACCAGATGCAGCATTTGAGAGAGCTCGTGTTCAACAGAACAACGGATGAGGGGGCGTGGCATAGTTCTAGGCGCGAAATGTAAATGCTTGACCCAATTGGCAGGGGGTCAAAAACTAAGAAAAAAATGAAACAAATAAAAAAAAAATGGAGAGGAAAAAACGAAGCGAAGAACAAGCAGCAACAACCGACAACAGAATCATTTAAAATGTTTTCCACGGGGAGGCGCCGTAAAACTTTTTCTCCGGGGTTTTTGGCGAAGACAACTTGAACACAATTTGATAACCTACATTTGAGGGTCTTGGCAACATTAAAAATTTACACATGACGGGACCGACTAAGGAATCAGTGGTGGGGTGAAGGGGGTTTTTAAGGGGGGAAGGGGGATAGGAGGAGGGGTCTTGCCCCAGTGCAAAAGTGGAACGGAGTGTTTCCTCGGCGTCCTTGAGCTCTTGTTTTTATTTGGTATTAAGAGCATGTCAAGTGAGTCTGGCGGTTGGGGGGAGAGGCTGAGGCAGCTAAGTGAGTTTTCGTTGTTGTTTTTCCTTGGGGCAGGAAGCGGATGTGTGTGTGTGAGTGCGTTCGTGTGTGTGTGTGTATTGGAGAAAGAAAATTTAAGGGGGGTTGGGGGAAGACTGTCTTCTTCGGCGGTGGGCAATGGCTTTTGCGGGTAGCTAAAGTCTTTAAGTCTTTCGCCTTAATAGCTCTCAGTTTGCGACTTTCCTGGTCACAATGCTTCCTTCTTCTTCTTCTTCTTCTGTCCCGTTACCCCCTTATTTTTGGCCCAAATACCCCCAACCCCCCTCATCGTTGGAAATCCCCTTCCTGTTTGCCGTGAGTTATTGTCGTGCTATTTATTACGCGACGCACTGTTGGCAGCCTTTCGGTCGAGGGACCACATGGCGTATGCGTATCGTGTAGTCGCGGTGGAAACTCACGTAATGTGCAACATTCGCCCCCCGCGGTTTGTTGCCAGTCCCTTTTGATTTATTCAGCCAGGTGGCATTCCTTTGACCCATATGGCTTTGATTTTTTGTGAAACTTCGAAGCGTCAGCCTTAACAACTTAAAAAGTGCTTTCTTTCTTCGAATTCTTCTTTAAACTCCATTATACAAATATTAAATGCGGAATGAAACTGTTTTAAATTGTATTGCTCGGCATTGGTATAAGTCCTTATGGTATTATTTGGATTAAATTGTTCACTTCTGATTAAATTTGCATAATTCGAATTGTTTTTCTAACAAAGGTTATTCAAATTATGTCTAACAAAAACGTATTTTTAAGCCTTTTCCCAAATCTAAACATAAATAAAATAATTAATTCTTTTCATTTAATTTTTCCCTTTCCGTTCCTCCAACTTTAATTGTTTCCAACTATTTGTTCTTTGATTTTCGCGCTGTGCATTTAAATGACTGTCGTGTCTGGCATCAATTACTGGTGTTGTCATTAGTGGAAACACCACTCGGAAATTAATAAAGATTTGCACAGGCGCAAATCGGTTTAAAAATGTGTGTGCAAGCACTTTGATTATTCATTCACAAAACCCAAGAGGCACCCGAAAAATTCCCAATGAGATAGTGCGTAATTCGTGACTGATACAGATTTTTCCCAATTCGCTTTTCCGTGGGCTTTTCTTTATTATTGCGCACACAAACAACAACTACAACAACAACAAGAAATGTGGTTGTTGGGGGCTGCATAAAAATGCCAAAAATTTCCCTGCTTCACGCACACTCGCACAAATATTGACCGAATTTCACTGACTTTGGTTCAGGTTTTTCCCCCTTTAAATTCGATTGTTTTCCGCATTTGTTGTTGTTTTGGGGCGATGCCGTGTCTTCTGTTTGTTTTGGAAAAATTTACCTCGGATTCTGGATGGCAAAAAACAAGAAGTTCACAGCACGTGGCCAAGTTAAAGTCAATGTCGGGTTTTCTTATTTATTTTTTGTATTTTCTGGCTTTCTAATTTGTTGGACACGCTTCGGTCGAAAGTTTTTTGGCCACGCTCTTGTTGATTTTATTGACACACACACACACACTCACGCGCGGCTGCCCACGCATATTCTCTCAGCGAAGAGGCGAGAGCGAGAGGGGGGAATTATTAGAAAGAGAGAGACGAAGGATTTATGGCGAATATTTTAGGCGCTTGGAACGTCTCACTTGGCGAAATTCTCGAATGGCACTGAGCTCGAGTCCTTGGCA